ATAGTAAACTAATATGTTTTGTACATTTTGTGTTAAAATTCTTAGGAAGATTGTCTTCTGAAAATTGGAGCATTATAGCCCACCGGGCTGGTGGAGGAAGAAGGGAAGAGTTAGTCTTAGGCTAGAATGTTCTTATTTTGAAGACACTTTCAGATTATAACTGTTACACGTGTGCAGTTTATTCAAGACTGCTATGTATATAGTGGACACATTAAGTCCTTATTTAAAACATCTAGTCTGTCTAGATGTTTAGAAGTGCCCAACGTATGTTAAATGTAGAGGTAGTAAAATATCACTCTGTAAATATCTTTTTGCTAAAATTCATAGGAAATAACTCTTGGGAGTGGAATCGTTAAACCACCTCTGAGCAGTATATGCTATCATGTATATTCAGTGGTTTGGAGGAGGTGGAAGGGAAAGAATTGCAAAAGGTAATATGCTTGCGTGTTCATACTTGGACATTTTCAGACAAAACCATTTTTTTGTATGGTCTGTGCATTTTATTTTGCTGTGTATATAGTGTATATATAATGGACAAATGAGTCCTAGTTTTGCAACATCTAGTCTCTAGATGTTAAAGAGGTTGCCAATGTATGACAAAGTAGTTAAATTAGCACATTCTGTACACATTGTGTTGAAATTCAAAGGAAAGCTTTTCTTCTGTAAATAACTTTTGGATATGAATTTGTTCAACCACCTTTAAGCATTACACATGTCTGTACTTGTCTACTGGATTAGTGGGGGAGGGAATAGTTTAGGCCAAAATGGTGGTCATATTTAGAAGATACCTCAGATTATACCTGTTGTTAGGTGTGTGCAATTCTATTTAACAGTGCTATGTACATAGTGGACAAGTTAGTTCTTATGTGAAATATCTAGTCTTTCTAGATATTTAGAAATGCTTGATGTATTTAGAAGTAGAGTAACGCTTCTTGTAAATAGCTTTTAAAGACTGATGGGAAATATTATCTATGGAAATAGAATTGCTAAAACCACCTCTCTGAACAGTATACTTGTTCAGTGGTTTGAGGGAGGTGGGAGGGAAGAAATTGCAAAAGATTTTTTGCTAGTGTGTGCTAGGAAATTTCAGCTTATCTGCTATATGTTATGTGCATTCAACTCGACTGTATATATTGTATATATACTGGACAAATAGGTCCTAATTTTATAATATCTAGTCTCTAGATATTAAAGAGGTTGCCAATGTATGACAAAAGTAGAGTTAGTAAACTAACACATTTTGTACACTTTGTGTTAAAATTAATTGAAAGGCTGTCTTCTGAAAAGGACTTGGAGAGATAACATTGTAGTCACATCTCAGTGACATGTGCCTGTCTACTCACCCTCTGGGTTGGCAGTGGAGAGAAGTGAGAAATGAAGGGTTCTAGACTAGAATGTTCCTATGCAGAAGACACTTTCAGATATAACCCATTGTTACATGTGTGTAGTTTATTCAACACTACTATGTATATAGTGGACAAACTTAAGTCCTTATTTGAAACATCTAGCCTTTCTAGATGTTTAGAAGTGCACAAAGTATGTTAAAAGTAGAGGTAGTAAAATAACACATCTTGTAGATAATGCTTTTGTTAAAATTCATATGAAATACTATCTTTTGAAAATGGTATGATCAAAGTGATCAAACCACCTCTCAGAGCAGCACACATTATATATCTGTGCTGGTTCAGGGAGAAGGGAGAAGAAAGTGCAAAGGGCTTTACACCAGTATGTTTATAGTTAGGTGGGATTAACCATTGTCCTGTAGGTCTGCATTTTGTTGTACTTTGCTATGTATATAGTGTATATAAAGGACAAATGAGTCCTAATTTACAACATCTAGTCTTTCTAGATGTTAAAGAGGTTGCCAGTGTATGACAAAAGTAGTAAATACATTGTGTACACTTTGTGTTTAAATTCATAGGAAAGACTATTCTGAAAACTAGAAGTGAAATTGTTAAATCCCCTCTAAGCATTATAGATGCTTATACTTTTCACTAGGTTGATATAGATCAGAAGAGGGAGGGTTAGGCCAGAATGTTCTTTCAGTGCTACTATGTATGTAGTGGGCAAATTTTAAATACTTAACTCGAAACATCTAGTATTTTGGATGTTTGAAAGTGAACAACATGTTAGGAGTAGAGAGTTAAAGTAACAACACCCTTTAGGTATTGTTAATTTACAGGAATGGTTATTTTGGGAATGGAATTGTTAAACCTGATGTCTTGGAGAATATGCTGACTGTTCACTGGGGGACAGGGGCAGGGAAGAAGTGAGAAGAGAAGGGTTCTTTGCCCTTGAGTCTTTAGACTAAAATTCTGTTTAAAAGTAGAGGTAGTAAAATAATCCCTTTATAAATGCCCTTTTGTTAGTTTTTAGGAAGGACTGTTCTGGGAGTGTCTGTTAATCCACTTCTTAGAGCTAGATGTAGTCCTATACTTAGTCGTTAATATGGTGGAGGGAGCAGAGGAGGGGTGAAGGGAAGGGCTTTTTGCTAGTATCTCCACATCTAGAAGACAGTTTTAGGTTATAACCATAGGTCTATATGTGTTTTTATGAAGTACCTGTGTTGTGGAGAAAGTTCGTTATTTTGCAACATCTAAGCTTTTTGGATGTCCTGAGGTGACAATGTATGATAAAATATACAGCTAGTGAATTAACCAATTTATAAGTTTCTCTTTGTTATCATTGATAGGAAAGAAGCATCTTGGACATGAGATTGTTAAGCTGTCTCTGAGAAGTGTCAGAGCTTACTAGGTTGGCAGCAGAGGGGCAGAAGGAAGTATAGAGGGAGAGTTGTATGCGGATGTTTTCATATTTACATTTTAATGATAACGTGTATTAGTCTCTTTGGCTGTACTATAGGAATACATTAAGTGATTCAATGGAAACATACCTCTTTGCTAATTGAATATTATAGATTGGATGATGAATTCTTTTAGAAGCATTATATGTTGTGTACTCTGTTACTTTATGTCTCAGTTTTAATTGAACATTAAGGGAATGCAGTATTTTAATTGTAACTCTGCCAATATCTTTATCTAGAGGCCTGTTGCCATTTTTGTCTTTTATGTTTTTGTCGCCAAGAAAGGCAGGATTACATTTTTTTTTTCCAGATGGAGTTGGTGTAGTGTATTCTTGGTTATCAAAATACTCATAGTTTGGGGACTTTGACATGATAAATATTCATGGTGTGTAAAAGCATGATACATAACTGTACGATCTTACTAAAAATGCTTACTTGTGTAGATAGATACACACACAGGACCTAGAAGTCAAACTGCAAACTGCTTGTGATTATGGATGACTTTGTTCTTTGCTTCTTGTGTTTTTCAGTTTCCTTTTATGCACATATTAACTTTTAGAAAATAAATTTTTAAAAAACCTATATGGAGTCCCTCCACTGCTTGCAAAGCCAGCACTCTCCTGGCAGTACAGTGTCCACACCCTTCAGGTTGAGGCTCTGAGGTATCTGCCACCTTCCTCCATTGCTTAGACATTAGCCCACACCATGCCTAGTTGTCCTTCCAGGTAATCTCACACTTTGGTGATTCCGACTTAGCTCAAGCTATTCCTTCTGCCAACGGTGCCCTTTCCACATTTTTCTCTTAGCAAAATCCTTCATTGCCCAATTCTACTTTTAACTTACATACAGTCTTGCTATGAGAACCTGACACCCTAGAATTAAGACGCCAGAACCAGAAGTTAAGCCCTTAACCTTGCAGCCCCCACTTGTGCCTCATATGTGGAACCCACTTTACCATCATCATTACCCAACAGTACACTGGATTTAATTCATGATGTCTGACACATGGTGGGGGCTTAGGAAATGACTGTTGAATACAAAGGGGACAAAACCTCAGCTTTTCAGATTAGCATGCCATCACTGCTAATAGGCACTCGTTGAGTAGTAGGGGCTCTCTAGGCCATAGCTGACCAAACCAGAGGGTGCAGGTCAGATGTAGCACCACCCAACCCAATCCCAAATCAGGCACAGGAAACATTCTCTACATGGAATACCTGAAGGATTCTTACAACTTTGAGGTGAGGTCTAAGAGGCCAGCCTCCTAATGTGGAAAGGAGCATTTCTAATGTTTCCCTGGGTGCTACTGGTATAAACCAAGTGGGCTTGGAACCAGGGAGGGCAGATAGAGGAGACCCTTCCCCTTGATTTCCCAACTCAGGATCAGGCCTGGATGCCACCTTCTGTTGATGTCCCTGCAAGATAGGTGTTAGATGCCTGAGATGGGCTTCTGGAAGACACCTGTGCACGTGGACTACTGTCCAAGTCTGCAGGCCCCAAATCACCAGAGCTGGGGCTGAAAATGGAAGCTCTCCTCTACGATTTAACGTGGATTCGCCTATCAAGGTTTCCAGAGGAGAAAGGTCCTAAAAACCTTAGAGAAGAGGTAGGTCTCAACCAGTCTTCAGCCTCCAGGGCAAAGCTATCCCTCAGTGGACAGAAGAGGAAATTGGAATCCAGAGGGGACAGGCCCTACTGGGACCACAGCTCATTGCTGGCAATATGTATTGCCAGGGAAAGAGAACTGGATCGGAGTCAAAGGCCTTCATTCTTATCTAAACTCTCTTAACTGGGGAACACTGGCCACCTGATCCCATTTGGGCTTCCACTTCCTCATCGGTAAATGAGGGGTTTGCTCTGGCTAGCTGATGAGGTCTGCTGCTCCAGATCACATGCTGGGTCTTTCAAAGCCATAGACTTAATCAGCACCAGAGTCAGGGCCATTCTCCATTAAAAGGAACCAGGGGTCTTAGAGAAATGGCTAATTCCAGGATTACATTAGAGGTAGTACAAGACCATTCTGGAATATCCTGTTATGGCAGAAAATAAGGAAGTGCTCGGAGAATGAGAAGAGCATGGCAAAAGGATTGCATCAAAATATAGAATGATAGTAACAGGTTCTAACACACTGAATAAAACAGGAAACCACAAGTCTAATACTAATATAAATAATGAAAAGTATGACAAAGGGATATTTACATAGTTTCATATCTCTTCACAAAATCCCTCAATACAGAATATGACATAATCAACAGTGCAAAGGCAGTCTGTGGAATGGAGAACATATTTACAAATCATATATCCGAAAAGGAGTTAATATCTACAATATACCAAGAACACTGACAACAAAGAAAATCAGCCCAATTAAAAAATGAACAAAGAACTTGAATAGGCATTTTTCCAAAAATGATATACAGGGCAGCCCAGGTGGCTCAGTGGTTTAGCGCCGCCTTCAGCCCAGGGCCTGATCCTGGGGACCTGGAATCGAATCCCACGTCGGGCTCCCTGCATAGAGCCTGCTTCTCCCTCTGCCTGTGTCTCTGCCTCTCTCTCTGTGTTTCTGTGAATAAATGAATGAAATCTTAAAAAAAAAAAAAGTTCTAGTGAGTGGAATTGAAAAAAAGATACACAAATGTCCAAAAAGCACATGAAAACTGTTCAACCTCATTAATCATTAGGGAGATGCAAATGAAAACCGCAGTGAAATACCACCTCACGCCCATGAGGATGGCTAGTAAGAAAAACCAGGATAACAAATGTTGTCAATGATGGCAGAAATCAGCACTCTCGTGCACTGTTGGTGGGACTGTGCAATGGTGGCACTGCTGTGTAATACAGGATGACAGTTTCTAAGAAAATCAAAATGAACTACCACGTGATTCCAGCAATCCCATTCTGGATATATGTCCAAGAAAAAACAGCAAGTTCTCAAAGAGCTATCTGCACACCCGTGTTCATAGCAGGACTATTCACAAAAGCCAAGAGGTGAAAGCAACCAAAATCTCCATCAACAGATGACTAAGCAGCAAAATGTGGTATATACATGCATGCAATGAATAGTATTCAGCCTTAAAATGGAAGGAAATCTTATCACAACATGGATGAATCTTGACATGGTGCTAAGGGAAATAAATAAGGCAGTCACAAAAAGACAAATACTGTAAGATTCCACTTATATGAAGTTAACTAAAGTAGTCAAATTCAGAGACAGAAAGTAGAATGGTGGTTACGGGGGTGGGGTGGGGCGGCTGGTGGGAAGGAGAGTAGTTTAATGGGTACTGAAGGGGAAAGAAGAGTAGTTTAATGGGTACGGAGTTTCAAATTTGCAAGATGAAATAGCTCTGGGAGGAGCCTGGGTGGCTCAGTTGGTTAAGCATTTACCTTTGGCTTAGGTCATGATCTCAGGGTCCTGGGATTGAGCCCCACATCAGGCTCCCCACTCAGCAGGGAGTCTGCTTCTCCCTCTTCCTCTGCCCCTCCCCCTACTTCTTCTCTCTCTCTCAAATAAAATCTTTAAAAAAATAGTTCTGAAGGTCTCTTTCACAACAATGTAAATATACTTGAGGTGGCTCAGTGGTTGAGCATCTGCCCTTGACTCAGGTTGTAATCCTGGGGTCCTGGGATTGAGTCCCATGTTAGGTTCCCCACGGGGAGCCTGCTTCTCCCTGTACCTGTGTCTCTGCCTCTCTCTCTCTCTCTCACATGAATAAATAAAATCTGAAAATTAAAAAATAAAAATGGGTTAAAATGGTAAATCTTATTTTTTTACCACGATATATATAATTTTTATTTATTTTTATTTTTAATTTTTATTTATTTATTTTTTAAGATTTTATTTATTTATTCATAGAGATACACAAAGAGAGAGAGAGAGAGAGAGAGAGAGAGAGAGGCAGAGACACAGGCAGAGGGAGAAGCAGGTTCCACGCAGGGAGCCTGATGTGGGACTCGATCCCAGGTCTCCAGGATCACACCCCGGGCTGCAGGCAGCGCCAAACTGCTGTGCCACCAGGGCTGCTCCATATATAATTTTTAAAATAAAAAGGCAGCAATATCAAAAGTGACTTTAAGTGGAGACACCATTTCAATCCAATAATCAAAGTTATCACCAGTAATGGGACAAATCTTGCGCCACCTGATAACACACAATGAGAAGAACACAGCATCAATTCTGTGATTCCTGCCACCAAAGATGCATAACTTAAATCTAATCATGAGAAAACATCAAACCAACCCAAAATGAAAGACTAAAGTAACATCTATACAATCTTCAAAAGTGTCAAGCAACCCATTTTCTTCTTCTGATTTTTTCTTAGGGGTGGGGAGGCTTTAGAAGTTGATGAACAGGGACGCCTGGCTGGCTCAGTGGTTGAGCATCTGCCTTTGGCTCAGGGTATGATCCGGGGGTCCTGGGATGGAGTCCTGCATCAGCCTCCCCCATGGGGAATCTGCTTCTGCCTGTATCTCTGATGAATAAATAAAACTTAAAAAAAAAAGTTGATGAACAGGTTTGGGGGGATAGGGCACAGAACCAAATACATGGAGGGTCAGGGCCTTCCCCCTACCTCCCACACACACAACCCTGGGTTAGGAGGAGGCTTGAAGAACACACACCAGACCCCTCAAATTTTACAAATGATAGCAGTGAAGCTCCAGAAAAGGAAGGGGCCTGGCTGGAAGTCACACAGCACATGTCTAGATGTGCCACTCTTCCACAGCTATGCCCAAAGGGCTAAAGCCCACAGTCTCCAGCAGTCATGAAAACACTGTTCTAGCATTGGTGCTGCTTCTCAGCCACCTAGAAACTACTCATCCCCATTGTCAATTCTGAACCAGAGGTTACAAATTCTGCAACTCAGCATCCTTGTGGTTAAGCCCCTAAAATCCCTGAATAGGGGATCCCTGGGTGGCTCAGCGGTTTCACGCCTTCCTTTGGCCCAGGGCGCGATCCTGGAGTCCCGGGATCGAGTCCCGCGTCGGGCTCCCGGCATGGAGCCTGCTTCTCCCTGTGTCTCTGCCTCTCTCTCTCTCTCTCTCTCTCTCTCTCTCTCTCTATGTCTATCATAAATAAATAAAAATAAATTTAAAGAAATAAAAAATAAAATCCCCAAATAGAAGAAAGTCCTCATGGTAAACTGGCCTCTTGTGCTATGATGGGAGTTGTCAAGTGACCCATGTTATCCTTGAGACTGTCCATAACTGAAGGTAAGGTTTTTTTTCCCATGAGTTATATAAAAGGAATGGAGGATTTAAAGAATGCTTTTGCTTCCAACCTCAAGATGTGATCTTACACACTTCCTATAACAAACTCTGGCAATATCTCCTGTGTTTATTTTTCAAATGGGTTTTTTCATTTTCCCCAAACAGTGGAAGCTGTTAGTGCTGGGGCTATATTTTTGGCTCAAGTGGCCTGGGTGTGCCTCTCCCAAGTATGACTATGCTTTATTTACATATGGAGAATCATTCCAGAGGGCGATTATATTCTCTCAAACACAGTTCCAGGGTTGTGTGTACTGAATTTTGAAAACAGGTGGCTCATTTGGAATAGATGAGTAACGGTGGTGTAACAGCACACACGCTGTGATGCTGCCTGCCTAGGAGGGCACCGGGTGTGAGGAAAGCACATGCATTTCCCAGCACAACCACCTGGTAGCCGAGTGAGTTTGGACAAGGCCTTTGCTACTCAGGCTCCTCATCTGTCAAATGAGGATAATGCCAGGAAATGTTTTCAGGACAGGGATAGCCTCTCTAGAGTGCCTCACACAATGCCTGGCACACACTGGCTGCTCCATACCTGAAACTGGGTCCTTCCCTGGGGTGGTGGATCACTACGGGCTTTCTGAGCCTTGGACCTGTGCCCCGATAGGCAATAAGGAGCACCAAAAGCAGTTTATTGCTAACACTATGCCAAGGGGTGTCATATTTGCTCCCTCTAAACGAGCATCTGCCCCAAGTCACTCATGGTGGCCTTTAGCACTGATTATGAAGACTCAGCCTTCCAAAGCCTTGGTTTCCTATTCCATTGAGGGGGAAAGAGGGTCTCTGGATGGCCAAATTGATATCAAAAAGGTGCTAATAACATTGAACATGTACTGAGCACGTACTATGTACCAGGGACTTCACAAGCATGACCCACGTAGAACTGGGGGCCCATTCTCTGCTTGGTTACTGAACTCAAAGAAACAGCAGTGCCGCATAAAACCATAATTAAGAGCTATTCAAATTTTTACTTGGTTTCTTCAAGAAAATACCAAAAGAAAACATATGTAGAGAAAAGCTTTTTGAAAACCTCTTTATGTTTCTTGTTCTCAAGTTCTTCTATCTGCTAAATGGTGGCTTCAGCAAAAGCTCTGCTCTTCCTCTGCAACCCTCAAGGCTCCCAAAGCCCAGCCCCCACCATCTTCCCTCCCCACATGGTGCCCTTACTTCAGAGTTGTCCTGGTTTACTTCCTCACCTGCCAGTCGCCTAGCAAACATGTTCTACCTCCTGTTCTGGAAGTTTTTTCTCTCACTTCCCAGCAAGTGGGACCTAGGGGTCAGCATGAATAAAATCCTACATCTTGCCGTACATGTACCACCTCTTTTTTCTATCTTTCTTTCTTCTTTAACCTTTTTTCCAGCTCGTGTACTATCTCTTTTAATACTCAACAGCCATTGGGTGGCAGAGCTGGGATCTTAACCCAAAGGTCATCAGACTCTGTCAGATGCGTAGCAAGATGTCTGTTACAGAATAAGCCCGCAATAATTTTCTCACCTGTCCTCTGGTCATGTCATGTCTGCTCAAGAATCTTCAAGGGCTCCTCATTGCCCAGAGTAGGGGTCAGAAAACGATGGCCAACAGGCCAAATCTGGCCTGCCACTTGTTTCTCTAAATAAAGTTTTATTAGAACAGTAAAGCTGCTTTCACCCAACAGAGTTGAATACTTGCAACAGAAACTATATGGCCTGAAAACACCTAAAATAGGGGGATTCCTGGGTGGCTCAGCAGTTCAGCGCTTGCCTTTGGCCCAGGGCATGATCCTGGAGTCCCAGGATCGAATCCCGCTTTGGGCTCCCTGCATGGAGCCTGCTTCTCCCTCTGCCTGTGTCTCTGTCTCTGCCTCTCTCTCTCTCTCTCTCTCTCATGAATAAATAAAATAAATTTTTAAGATTTTATTTATTTATTCATGAGAGAGAGAGAGAGAGAGAGGCAGAGACAGAGACACAGGCAGAGGGAGAAGCGGGCCCGATGTGGGACTCGATCCCTGGTCTCCAGGATCACGCCCTGGGCTGAAGGTGGCGCCAAACCGCTAAGCCACCCAGGCTGCCCAAATAAAATCTTAAAAAAAAAAACACCTAACATATGTATTATTTGATCCTTTATAGAGTTTGCTGACCCCTGGCCTAGAGAATAAGAGGAAACAGAGACTGCCTCTTGTCCTCCTTTGGATCTGCTATGAAGCAATTATAAACAAAAGTAAATAAATTTCAAATGAGTGAACAAGATGTCCATACCATCATCTTGGAGCCACAGCCCTACGTGCAGAGATTCCTAAATATAGTCAGATGCCCCAATTTACCTGGTCCCCAAACAGTGCCACCTCATCCGTGTAGGTCACAGACAGCCCGTTCAGATCTGCTGCAGACATCTCAGACTCCTCAGCCATCTGGAGCCATGAGAGAAGTCAGAGATGGTTAAGCCCACTACTTTGCTACTCGTTTACGTCCACACCCTCTTTCTTTGCTGCACAACATAAAAAGTTTTCTTTTAAATTCAACAGACTTGGTGACTCAGTCAGTTAAGCGGCTGATCCTTGGTTTCAGCTCAGGCCTGAGTTGGACTCCAGGCTCAGCCAGGGAGTCTGCTTGTGGATTCTCCTTCTCCCACTGCTCCTCCCCCTGCTTACGCTCACTCTCTCAAATAAATATTTAAAAAAAATAAACTCAACAAACAAAATTATAATACTGAATATGCTTTCCACTATACTCACCTCTCCTGAAGACCATCGATCTTGTCCAATTTGCTCACTTTGCCACTGGGGAAACAGGTGCAGGAACAGGACTCCAGGAGCTCAAGGGGGTCCAACAGCATAGAAACAGAGCCAGACTCTCCAGGGCTCCGGTGTTCCTCCTAACCTGCTCCTTGTAGGGTAGGTGAATGTGTAGGTCAGGAGTGATGGGTAGAGGACGGCTCCTGTCTTTCCTGGTAGCCCCAGGCCAGGCTCATATGGTGTTGTGGCCTCTACCAGGCCCCCCTGGTGTTCCCAAACCTAAACTATGAAATTTCCTAAAGGAGAGAGGTGATTTGGCCCAGTGCTACCAGAGTCGGCCCAGGACACTAACAGGCAGCCATAGATTTGGGAGAGCCCTCGGTAAGTCCAACCCACCATCTCCTTATCTCTGGCCTGCCTCCTCTCTCTCAGGCTGCTGGCTCCCCATCCTTGCCACCAGGATACCTGCTCCTGTCACACTGCCCATCAGTCTCTCTAGTTCCTTATGCCTCCCCCAAGCCCCTCCCACCCATCAAGCCTTCTCCAGTCTCTGGCAACGCCCTGCCAGAGGGGCTTGATGAGCCCTGGCAAACCAGCAGCCTGTAGGCCCAACACAGCCCACGTAAATGTTTTGTTTGCCTAACACAGTATTTCAAAAACAATTTGAATTAGTTACTTACATTTAAAAACCAGTAGGAATCATCTAAAATATTGGGTTTCTTAGTTCCCTTGAAAAATCTAAGACTGGCAGTACCAGGCCTGCATTATTTCCTGGCATGGCATCAATTGAGGATACAGAGCAGCTGTTCCATCTGGATGGCGAATGTGTGTACCAGTCCTCACCGTTGCCTGTTGCCTGCCCAGTCCTCCTGATGCACTCTTTTAGATGACCAGCGTGGCCTCTGGGAGGCATTTGAGTTTGTAACCCCAGTCTTGCTCACTTTGATCAGAGCCCCTCCATATCTTCCACCCATCTCACCAGATAAGACCCTCCCACCCTGGGACACCCCAAGCCTCCTGACTGTCCACTCATTCAGCCCCACAAGTATCAAGGGAGAGAGTGTCCCAGCTGCTGCCCCCAAACATCTCTCCAGACCCACAGGCCCCAGGAGCCCTGACTCCAAGCCCCACAACTCCCATGGTGTTCACTCAGGAAATAGGGTAACCAACCCAACATCTTTTATTGGGTCCAAACAAGGACCCCTGCATTCTTATACTGAGGCAGGAGTTCTTGAATTTTGTATCGGGGTGCTGTGATGGCTTGGACAATCCTTAATGGGGGGAGGTACTTCTGGGGTGCCATGAAAATGGGATAACAAGGTTTAGTCTCCTTGTTGAAGCTACACAAATCCAGCATCAGAGACTTGGAGCTGTAGATCTCTTTCTTCTTGGGCCTGACTGGGATGAATGGTGGACGCTGGCGAGGCTTCACCAGCAGCCGCACTAGGTCTTTCCGAAAGATATTCCAGGTATTCTCCTGAAGGAACTTCTGGCACATAGCTTCATCACTAAAGGTGAGGCACAGATGCTGAGTTTCCCACACCAGCTCCTCTTGTCCCCCTGCCCCTCCAGACTCTCCTCCTGCCACTCTTCTAATTCCTAAACACAGTGTGCTCCGTCCCAGCTGTGTGCCTCTTCCCAGACCCTTCTCTCTGCCTTTCCACACTTTCTTCCCCTAGAACTGTGCTGCTCCATGCAGTGGCCATGAGCCACATGTGGCTACTGAGTCCCTGATGTGGGCCAGTCTGAATTAGAGATGTGCTGTGAGTCCAAAAATATGTACCTCAAAGACTTAGAGGTACAGAATATAGATCTCAAAGACTTAGAACAAAAACAAATGTAGAGATACTCATTAATAATGTTCATAAGTTGGTTACATGTTGAAATGACAGTATTTGAGATGCACTGAATTCAGTAAAATATATTTTAAAGATTAATTTCATCCATTTGTTTTTACTTCTTATAATGTGGCTACTAAAAAGTTAAATTATGTAGGTAACCATTTATCCATCAAGGAAACATAAGGCAAAGCCACAATGAGACACCACTTATGCCCACTAGAATGGCTATGATTAAAAAGACAGATAAAGATGTGTTATGAGGTGGATATTAAACAGGGGTTCTGGGGGATCCCTGGGTGGCTCAGTGGTTTAGTGCCTGCCTTTGGTCCAGGGCATGATCCTGGAGTCCTGGGATCAAATCCTACATTGGGCTCCCTGCATGGAGCCTGCTTCTCCCTCTGCCTGGGTCTCTGCCTCTCTCTCTCTGTGTCTCTCATGAATAAGTAAATAAAAATCTTTTAAAAATAAACAAAAAATAAAACAGCGGTTCTGGTATACTGCTGATGGGAAAGTAAACTGGTGCAGTCACTTTGAATAAAAGTCTGGCAGTTCCTCAAAGGTTAAACAGAGTTAACCTGCAACCTAGCAATTTCACCCCTACAGTATATACATACCTGAAAGAAATGAAAACCTATGTCTATGCAAAGCCTTGCACAAGAATGTTCATAGCAGCACTATTTGTTATGGCCAAAAAATGGAAACAACCCAAACATTCAACCACTGATGAATAGGTAAAGTGTGACATATACGAGCAATGGACTATTATTTGACAATAAAAGGGAGTGAAGTTGGGGGGCCTGGGGGGCTCATTTGGTTAAGCGTCTGACTCTTGGTTTCAGCTCAGGTCATGATCTCAGGGTCGTGAGATCCAGTTCCGTGTTGGGATCTGTGCTCACCATGGAGTCTGCTTAAGATCCTCTCTCTCTCTCTCTCTTTCTTTCTCTCATAAACAAACAAACAAATAAACAAATAAACAAGATCTTAAAAAAAAAACATACAAAACTTTTTACAATGGATAAAACTTGAAAGCATTATGCTAAGAAGCCAGTTGCAAAAACCCACACGTAACATGATTCCATTTATATGAAATGTCCCGAACAGGCAAATCTATAGAGACAGAAAGTAGATTGGTGGCTGCCTTGGACTGGTCTTGATGCCCTGGCTCTACTCTGTTCCCTTCTCTCATAGCACACACGAGGGTAGGGAAAGTGGGGGAGAGAGAGGAGGCTCAGCACTCATTGGCTTATTTCCTTCTAAGACCACAGCAAAGGAACAGCATGTTCCATTTCCACTCACTTGCCCATGTTCTCACCGAAGCAAGAAAGCTTAATAAGTCACTAACAAGTTAAAACATTCTTCCAGAAACAGGGTATTGACCAGGGCAGAGTCAACTTTGATCCATAGAAAACAACTTAATAAAAAACCCAGAGGTCAGCATAGGCCATTGGCCAGTCCTGTTGGTCTCAGTGGTGTGCCAAGGTGAGCTCCTCTCAACTCAGAGGGATGATTATATGCACCTCTCCTCAACCCCATGTTCAGCAACATCAGGTTGGTAGGTGGAAATTGGCCATGGTGGGAATATATACACCACAGAATCAGTAAACCCTTCAAATCAGACTTATCTCCTACTCACCTCCCAGAGACCTGATTGTTAAACCTTCACCAGCACACTACCAGATATTCTCCACTTCAAAAATTCAACCAACTCCCAATTCCATAAAAAACAGCAATTATCTATCTAACTTTGACTTAGCACTTCTTATGTGCCCAGCACTTTACCTGTTAACCCATTTAATCCTCACAATTCCCCATTTCACAAACTCAGAAACTCCAGTTCAAAGATGCTACAGGACTCACCAAAACCTATGAGGGGGAAGGCATGTGATTATAGATTCTTAGGAGGTCTTTTATCTTTTTAGGGGGTACACGGAGTCCAAAACAGACAAGATTCCTCATGTCACCTCCTGATACTGATTGGTCATATTGATTTCTTGTTTTTCACAAAACAGGGTCACCCTTCTTCTAAAGGCCTCATCAGCTTGGGACAGGGCTTACAGTTCCAATTCCTGCCTTACTTGAACTGGAAGTTTCATCTGCCCCTGCAGGCTGTAAAAACTTCAGCCCATGATGGCCTTGGCCCCTAGCTCTGCCCACCCTTACCGCAATCCCATGCTAGATCACACTCTTTGCTTTGGCTCTTAGGCTGTACTTCCTTTTGGCCCTCAGAGATTTCCTTTCTCTTGGGAACTCAAATATTGGTTACATTCTACACAGTGTTCCCTGTGCTTTGTAGGGGGAGAGGGGTCAGGTTATCTAGCCTGTAGCATTCACAGGACAGGTGTCATGGCCACTGTGTGATCTTCAGGATGTCATGTCCTCTTTACCGAGCTTCACAGTCCTCAATTAAAACATGGAGGATTTGAGCTAGATAATGGATATGCTTTCTGCCTGCTTTAGCAGTCTAGAAATCATGAGTTCAACAGTGAATGAATAAGCCAGAAATCTCTCTGTCAGCATTGCAGATCATTGCAGTGAAGCGCTGACCGCGCGGCACAGATGCTGAGAGCTCAAGCATCTGCCACCCTCCCAAGTCTACAGAAATCTCTTCTGAATTTCAATTCAACAGGCATTAACTGATACCCATCACACGCCAGGCATCATTTGTGGATCTAATGCTCCTAAAATCCATTTTTTTTAAGATTTTATTTATTTATTTGAGAGAGAGAAAGAGAGTGCATGAGCAGCAGGGAGGGGCAGAGGGAGAAGCAGGCACCTCACTGAGCAGGGAGCTCTGGCCAGGCCGTGGGGCTCCATTCCAGAACCCTGAGATCATGATCTGAGCCCAAGGAAGACTCTTTAAAAAAAAAAAAAAAGATTTTATTTATTTATTCATGAAAGACACAGAGATAGAGATAGAGAGAGAGAGAGAGAGAGAGAGGTAGAGACACAGGCAGAGGGAAAAGCAGGCTCCATGCAGGGAGCCCGACGTGGGACTCGATCTCAAGTCTTCAGGATCAGGCCCTGGGCTGAAGGCAGCGCTAAACCACTGAGCCACCTGGGCTGCCCCCAAGGCAGACTTTTAACCAACTGAGCCACCCAGGCACCCCCTAAAATCCCTTTTTGAGTAGGTACCTCTAACTAGCAATTTTCTATATTGGTTATACACAGGAATCGGAGAATTGTGGCATCTTTGAACTGCAAGGAACTACTAGTGTTTCCCAACTTATTTTTCTCACAAAACAGCCCCAATTTGGGCCATATCTACACATGATCTATTCTTTAATTTAGCAATAATTTTCTTAATTCTGCTTAGTTTCTTTTACTTAAATGTTTTACAGTGGCTTTAATCTAAGCTACAAGATTTGTCAAATCATGAGTTTAGTGAGCTAGTCATTTGGTTTTTCTAATTCACACTAGAATAAATACCTAGCTGTTAAAACTAAAAGTGTCAACCTGTAGAGCACTTAAAATCATCTTATACATCTTCTGTGAATATGGTCCATACTTTGGGAGACACTGGTCTAATCTCATTTTCGTGTTTTGCAGAATGGAGTCTGAATTCTAGTAGAGGGGAAATGACTTATTCAAAATCATACAGACCCCACATCAAATTCTCTCACATACTTATTGGACATGGCTGCAGTAACTACAGATCTGCTTGCCTTCACACCTCCTTTCCTTACCACTAGAATCACTTGCTTCCACACCTGTCAGCAAAACCATGTCTGATCACAATATCACCGTAAGAAAAGAAAAAAAGGGGGAAGGGATGCCAAATTGCATAATGGGTATGATCTCCACTATGAAACTTTGTGTGGCCGAATGGTAAATGCATGTTTGGCACATTTCCATTTGGTACATATCCACGTAGACGTAGCAAAAACAAAATGCATGTGGTAAAAGGAAATACACAAAATGCTAACTTGGGATTGTTGCAAGAATGCAAATTGTTCTGGTTTTCCCCTTTTTAAATGTTCAGTATTTTCCAGTTTTCTGCAATGTAAATGCTCCATTCATTCATTTATTTATTCAACACCCATTGTGCACCGACTCTGTGCTGGGTACTACACAGGTAGGTATCAGACATGAAAGGAAGATAAAGCCCAGTCCCTGCCTCTGTGAAACAATTAATCAAATGATGGGCAAAAACAAAAAAAAAACTGTACGAACTACCAGCTCTAAAGAGCTATGATTCAGTACAATGGTCAATTACAGAGCTCTGTAGAGAGCATTATAAGTGTATAGAAAGAGGTAGTTAGGCCAACCTAGGGTTAGCCAGGGAAGGTTTCCTGGAGGAGAGGAATCTTAAATAATGAGCAGGAGTTTATCAGGGAAAAAAGAGGAGAAAGACTGGGGGATGGCATTTCAGGCAGAAGAGCCAGCACTGGCAAAGTCAAGTATATGCAGTGTCAAGTACATGCAAAGCCCAGGAGGCAATTTGCTTGAGCTGTTAGAGCAGGTTACAGGTGACTGGAAGTGCTGCAGGGGAGTTGTGGGGTCATCCCATGAAAGGCCACACCTGGCAGTGAGTTTGCACTTTATCGTATAAACAGTGAGATGCCCCTGAAAGGGCTGAAGCAGGAGTTTAACCTGGCCAGATATGGGTTCTAGCAAGAGCACAGTATGCAGAAAGGATCTAGCAGGGAGGAAATGGAGGAAGGGGGCCCAGTGGTAAGCCCAGAGGCCCCAAAGTGGGGGTGCAGGGTCATGTCACCTAGGGAGGTGAACAAGATCCACTGAGGTGTGTGAAAAAAATGGTGGGGCTTCATTTATATTTATCTTTGTGTTCTTAAAGATCTATTTTGGTATGTCCATAATGTATATATTAGTACAGCAATATATGTACATAATAATAAACTAATACATGCTATTCATATTTATGTTTTCTAAGAGGTATACACTCAAACACTTTTTAGTAATAACTGTGTGAGATCAAATAGTTTTGCCACCGTTGATCCAGTTAACTTTTACATAAAAAAATTAAGTGGTTTTTTTTTTTTTTTTGCATTATAGAAGTAGTCATTCTGGAAAATTTGAAAACTAGGGAAAAGTAAAAAAATCTTTTTATCAAATCTTTCAAGATAGATATTTATTTTTTAATTATCAAAGTAATATATCATCATTACAAAACATTTGGCAAATAAAGGAAAAAAAGCCCACTTGGAATGCCACTATCCGGATAAATTGGGGGGGGGCAGAGAGAGATAATTTTTTTAAAAAGGTTTTTATTTATTTATTCACGAGAGACAGAGAGAGGCAGAGACATAGGCAGAAAGAGGAGAAGCAGGCTCCATGCAGGGAGCCTGACACAGCACCCTGGGATCCTGCCTCGAGCCAAAGGCAGACTCTCAACCACTGAGCCACCCAGGCATCCCAGAGAGAGAGAGAATCTTAAGTAGGTTCCTCACCCAGAATGAAGCCCAATGAGGGGCTCGATCTCACAACCCTGAGATCATGACCTGAGTCAAAATCAAGAGTTGATGCTCGGGCAGCCCCGGTGGCGCAGTGGTTTAGTGCTGCCTGCAGCCTGGGGTGTGATCCTGGGGACCTGGGATCAAGTCCCACGTCAGGATTCCTACATGGAGCCTGCTTCTCCCTCTGCCTGTGTCTCTGCCTCTCTCTCGCTCTCTCTGAATGAATAAATAAATAAATCTTTAAAAAAAAAAAAAAGAGTTGATGCTCAAGTGACTGAGCCATTTAGGTGCCCCCTGATAACTTTTAAAAAGTATTTCTTTTCATCAAACTATGGACAGAGCCCAAGTGTCCATAGACTGATGAATGGAAAGAAGATGTAGTATAAAAAAAAAAAAAGAAGATGTAGTATGTGTATATGTATATATATACACATACATATATATACATATATACACATACATATATATACACACACACATATATATATGTACACATACATACACACACAATGGAATATTCTCAGCCAGCAAAAAGAATGAAATCTTGCTGTTTGCAATAACATGGATGGAGGTAGCATGTATCATGCCAAGTGAAATAAGTTAGAGAAAGACAAATGCCATATGATTTCACTCATGTGGAATTTAAGAAAGGAAACATAAACAAGAGCACCTAGGTGGCTCAGTCAGTTAGGCATCTGCCTTCAGTTTGGGTCATGATCCCAGGGTCCGGAGATTGAACTCTGTGTCAGGCTCCCTACTCAGCAGAGTCTGCTTCTGCCTCTCCCTCTGCTGCTTCCCCGGCTGTGCTCTCTCTCTCTCTCTCTCTCTCTCTCTCTGTCAAGTAAATAAATAAAGTCTTCAAAAAAAAAAAAGATAAACACATGGGAAGAGGGGAAAAAGGAGAAAGGGAAGCAAACCATAAGAGACTCTCAAGAATAGAGAACAAACTGAAGGTTGATGGAGAGAGGTGGGCGGGGGATGGGCTAGATGTGTGATGGGATTAAGGAGGGAACTTGTGAAGAATCACTCAATTCTACTCCAGAAACCAATATTGCACTGTATGTTAACTAAGTAAAATTTAAATTTTTTTGAAAAAGGGACACCTGGGTGGCTCAGTGGTTGAGTGTCTGCCTTCGGCTCAGGGAATGATCCCGGGGTCCTGGAATCAAGTCCTACCTTGGGCTCTCTGCGGGGAGCCTGCTTCTTACTCTGCCTGTGTCTCTGCCTCTCTCTCTCTCTCTCTCTGTCGTTTATAATAAACAAATAATCTTTAAAAAATAAATTAAAAATTTAAAAAGTATTTATCTTCCCTCATTATATAAGCAATGCATACACACTGCAAAAATAATTAAATATGAGAGGAATATATAACAACAACCAGGAAGTACTTTTTAGTCTCACCTTCCAGACAGAATGACTTTTACAAATTTGGTAACATGACAGATGTCATCATTGTTGCTTTTTCCTTCTAGGTTTTCCTCTTGTGTTTTATAAAGGCATAGTCAGAGTATATATCCAATTTTGCATCCTGGCCTTTTCATATATCATTATATCACCTATTTTACCCTCCTCCTACAGAGTCCTTAGACTTATAATTTTTTTTAGTAAGACATTTACAATCTATGAAAGAAATACATCACAATTTCCAGATGATCCCCTTAGTGTGATACGTGTGGGTGGTGGTAGTGGTTTTTCTCCCTATCGTGAATATGGCTGCTATGAACATCTCAGTGCATGTAGCTTTTCCCATAATTTAATTATATAAATTCATAGATAGACCTTTACTTCAAAAGGTATAGCCCTTCCAACATAACAGTAAAATTATCATCAAAGGAACTGAGACAATTTAAGTACCAACAGCTACCAGTTTCATCCCCTCCCTTTTCAGCATTTCATATTAGCACCTTTTTCTTTTACTAAATAATAGGTGAACATTTATTTATTCAGTCTGGTGGAATGAATGCACATTTCCAGCACTGACCTGGGGTACTTGACCTTGAACCTGGACAACTTCTCCATTACTTCACTGTCAATCAGTTCACAAAATTTGTCTTTCCTCATCCGTATCACCTCAGCTCCCAGGCTCACGAGGATCAAGGGCCGCATGTCACACTGCTTCTCTGGGAGGAGGATCTGGTGAAGGCCCTGGGGGTTAGAAAGTCTGACCTCAGAGACTGTCCACACCCACCAGCAGATCATTTAGAAGGGGAAAATGAGGCCCCAAACAGAAGGTGATTCCATCTGGGGTCATTCTGCAAGTGATGAGAATTCTGTCTAGGGCTCCTGCTGTTGCACGACACCAAAGGCCTCCAGCTTCTGGGATTAGAAGAGCCTGTGAAGACGGCACTTTGTCCATGTTCCCTCTCCGTGCAGGCTCCGCAGGAACCACACTCAGGCAGTTCCTCTTCAGGGGACAGCAGTTCACAAGTTTTCCCTGATGTCCAATCTCAACTATTGTGCCAATTAAAGCCATTCCCTCTTTCTCAGGATGATAACGGAAGAACATCGAGTCTTCCTCTTCTAAATCCCCCCCTTATGGGCACCTGAGTGGCTCAGTGGTTGAACATCTGCCTTCAGCTCCGGGTGTGATCCCGGGGTCCTGGGATCGAGTCCCAAGTTGGCCTCCCCACAGGGAGTCTGCTTCTGCCTCTGCCTCTCTCTCTGTGTCTCTCATGAATAGATACATTTTAGAAAATCTTTAAAAAAATAAAACTAAATCTTCCCTTTCACAGGCACCACACCCTCACCCATCCTTTTGGCAGCCCTTTGCTCATGTGTCCCCACTGAGCCTCCATTACCTTCTCTGTCTCTCATAGACTTTAGGGGGGTTACTGGCCTCCTCTCTGCCACTCAGTTACTCCTCTGGCTTCCTGGCCATGATGATGACAGTGATATGACAGCAGTATTTCCTGAGCATTCGCTATGTTCCAGGCCCTCTTGCTGCTGCCTGCCATAGGTACTAACGCATTTGAAACTGTCACAAGCCCCAACGAGGTGGGTCCAATTGTTATCCTCATTTTACAGAGGATGCTGCCAAGGTTGAGAAACCTGTCCGACATCACACAGCAGGGAAGCAATAACACTAGGATCTGAACCCAGGGGGTCCGTCTTCAGAACCCATGCTTCTAAGCACTATCCTCTGAGGAAACTGAGGCCCAAAGAGGTTAAGTAACTTTCTCAAGGATAGAAAGAGGTGGAGGCAGGATTTGAACCCAGTGAACTATTCAAAGCGCACTGAGGGCAGGTACTCTCATACACCTGCAACCCATCCCTTCAAATACCTTCCCACAGCATGCAGGATAGATGAAAACTCCTCCCTGTGGCCCCAAGACCTGGGCTCTCTCACCCTTGCTGGACTCTCCAGCCTGGCCTCATGCCGCCCTGCCTTGTTTACTCTGTTGCAGCCATGCTGCCCTCCCTTCCAGCCCCCTTGACACACCAAGCTCCTTCTGGCCTCAGGCTTTGAGCTTACGGTTCCTGGGTCTTCTATACTCTTCCCACAGGTCATCCCCAGCTTGTTCTTTTCACCATTCAGATCTCAGCTTAAACATCCTCTCCTCAGAGCCGGCTTTCTTGATTGCTCCATTTAAGAAGCCTGTCCCCTGCCCCAACCCAGCTTTCTATTCCATTCCAAACAGCAATTTGCAATACTTTATGTGTTTATTAATTTGTCTGTTTATTGTCTGTCCCCAGATTAGATCATAAACCTCATAAGGGCAGGAAGGATGTCAGTTTACTTGCCCACACTGGCATTTTGAGCCATGACTAGAGCATGGTAGATGACCTGCATGAGTGCTTAGACGGGGTCACAGAACATTCGGGTTAACACACCCAGGTGAATGTCTTCATCTTTTTTTTTTAAAGATTTATTCATTCATGATAGACAGAGAGAGTGAGAGGCAGAGACACAGGAGAAGGGAGAAACAGGTTCCATGCAGGGAGCTTGATGCGGGACTCGATCCCGGGACTCCAGGATCGCGCCTGGGCCAAAGGCAGGCGCTAAACCGCTGAGCCACTCAGGGATCCCCATGTCTTCATCTTCTAATAAGGACACAGACTCAGGTAAAGTATTTGCCCACACAGCTAATTAGAAGCAACATGAAGGGGGCACCTGGGTGGCTCAGTGATTGAGTGTCTGCCTTTGGCTCAGGGCCTGATCCTGGGGTCACCGGATCTGAGTCCCACAGCCGGCTCCCTGTATGGAGCCTGCTTCTCCCTCCTCCTGTGTCTCTGCCTCTCTCTCTGTGTCTCTCATGAATAATTAAATAAAATATTTAAAAATTGAAAGAAAGAAAGAAAGAAAGAAAGAAAGAAAGAAAGAAAGAAAGAAAGAAAGAAAGAAAGAACATGAAGATAAGGACCCCTGCCCCCACCCCAATCTGCCAAATCCCGTCTGCCCCGCCCACGGCTCTGGCTTGCCCAATCAGAGGCCTCAGCCTGCCTGTTCCCTGGATGAGTGGTTCCCCTACTCCTCCTCGCTCAGAACAGAGGCTCTCCTCCAGGTCCCAGCCTCTCCTGTTTCTAAGACCCACCCAGCTTCACATTCCCCAGTTAGCAAATGTGATCTCCTAGGTGAATACAGGCCCAGCTGTCCCATTAACTCTCCTACAAGCGAAGCCACGGCCTTGAGAGCAGAGAGAACACATCCACAGGCATTTTCATCAAGAGTCATGTTAACACATATTTGTGGGGGGCCTTCTCTGTGCTGGGCCCTGTGTGACAAATGAGGCAGCCTGGTCTTTGCTCTGGGCCCCCACCCAAAGCCTTCGAGGCCTTCCGAGAGAATCAGGGCCAAGGTCCCCACTCCAACACTGCAGGCCCTTGACGACACAGGCCTGGCTGTTCTAGTGGCACGTGACACAGCCTCTACTGCTGTCATCATTGACCCCACCAGGCAACACCTTTCTGCCCTCTGGTGCCCTCATTCAGCCCACATGGCATCCCCAGCTACTGCCTGGCCCTGTGTGAGGCTGCATTCCTAGGCCAGGCCCTGGCCTCAGGAGCCCTGTGTTCAGGCCTGAGCGCCTGCCTCCGAAGCATTAACTGCCCTGAAGGAAACGGTGAGCAGCCTGGAAAGCACATCACCTGAGGACTGTCTGAAGGAACAGAGGATGTTTTAATTGAATGAGAAAATAACTACCTGGGCATTGACACCGTGCCTGGCTCCACAACATTGAGTGAAAAACAAAATGGCATTCTTTAAATAATCTAATGGGTCATCATTGGGCAAGGAAACAGATTTCTTCTGTTTTGTTCTTGGGAGGGTGGGGTAGGGAAACATTGTGGGAGGAGCTACTTAAAAGGTGCAGGGGGCAGAGTTTTGCTGAAGAAAAGGAAGAACTTCCTAAGAGCTTGGAAATATTCCATTAGCCTTGAGAGGGCACCATGCCAGGGGCTGGGGCTCCCTTCTGGTCCTGTGCTGGCTTTCCTGCCTCTGAAGACACACAGTCCAATGGGACAGGAGCATGAAGAGACCACCACACCGGGGGGTGATAGGCATGTGAGGATGACCCTGGAGATACTATAACTGAGGAAGAGCATTAAGGGCATATGGCGAGGGAGTAGCTCTCTGGACTATGATGACTGCACAGTGCATGATGACCGCACATGAGGCTTCAGAAGACAGCCCCTCCCCAGGGCTGGTGGAGGCCCACCCCCTGCCCGGCTTCCACAGTGATCAATTCATGGCCAAATGTTTCTTCCATGCATTTCCCACCCTGCCAACCTGCCAACCATTGAATAATTTTTAAGTAGGCTCCATGCCCAGCGTAGAGCCCAACATGGGGCTTGAACTCATGATCCTGAGATCAAGACCTGAGCTGAGATCAAGAGTTGGACACTTAACCACCTGAACCACCAGATGCCTTGGATAATTATATTGTTAATAGACTTTATTTTTTAGAACAATTGTAGACTTAGAAAAATTGAGAAGATAGTACAGAGTTCCCATATACCCCATACAGTTTCCTCTGTTAATTAACATCTTACATTAGTAGGATACCTTTGGTAAAATTAATGAACTGATATTGATTGATACACTATTATTATTATTAATTCAGATCAAGGAGTTATTTAGATTTCCTCTTTTTACCTAATGTCCTTTTCCTGTTCCACAATCCTATCCAAGACACATATTCCATTTATTCTCTTATCTCCTTAGGCTCCTCTTGGCTGGACAGTTTCTCAGACTGGCCCGGTTTATGATACCCTTGATAGATATTGAGGAGTACTGGTCAGGAATTTTGTGTGACACCCAGCCATTAGAGTTTGTCTGATTTGGTCCCATGATTAGACGGGGGTTGTGGTTTATTGGGAAGAGGACTATGGAGGCAAAGTATCATTCTCATTACATCACGTCCCATTTCATAATGTTAAGGGACATACTATCAACACAATTTAACTGTGTATGTTGGCCTTGATCACCTGGCTACACTGGTATTTCTCAGGTTCCTCTATTGCAAAGTTACTCTCTCCCCCCCACCACCCTCTTTCCATACTGTTCTTTTTAGAAGGAAGTCACTATATGCAGCCCACACCTAAGGACCGGGGAGTTATGCATCCTCTTCTTTAGCATCAAGTATCTATGTCAATTATTTGGAATTCTGCATGGGAGATTTGTCTCTTCTCCCCTATTTATTAATTTGCTCATTATTTGTTCATTTTACAAGTATGTACTCAGGAATGTTTACTGTTACTTTGAGGTATAATCTAATACTATTTTATTTTGTTGCTTAAATTGTTCAATTTGTTCTAGCTTTGGCTAATGGGAGCTCTTTCAGTTGGCACCTGTGTCCCTTTGATATGCCTGCCTCCGTATAGGGTTTTTCCCCCCAATACTTCCTAACTCCCCAGCGCTAGGAAATGCTCCAGGCTCATCTTGCCTATTTCCTGCCCTAGTCTTAGAATCAATCATTTTCCAAGGAGCCCTTGTTCCTCTTAGTGAAGAATAATATTAGAAACCAAAGTCTGGGTGTTAGGTTTGCTCATTGCTACTGGAGTGTCATTTCTTTCAGGCCCTGTCAACTGACAAAGCAAAAGATATATGTCGATATACATATCTATAAATATTTCCACGTGTAACCATCTGTATTTATATTAAGCTAAACAGGAGTTCATACTGATATCTTCAATGAATCTGTTACCACATGGATCATTCTAGCCTCCTCCTAGCTTCTCTGCAAATTTCTACTCCAATGATGAGAAACCTGGCTGGTGTCATCTGCTGAATTGATCCATTTCAGTACACATGTATTGCAGTATCAGAACTGTGAAGCATACGCCCATGGGAATGACATTATCAGCTAGAGTACAGTGCTCATGTGCAGTTCCTTTGGCTTTCAGTTTTGCAGACCACAGTCACTTCCAGAGTCACACCTCCAGCGATACATAGGTCAGCACCTTTTTCTCTCACCCTCTTCAGGGACTGTTTCATACATTTGTAATATCATTAGATGCTCTTGTGACAATCTTCATTTCCTTTTGGGATCCCCTGCCACCTAAATTACTTTTTCTTTAACAAGTTGTATACATTAAGGTTCACTCTTTGTGCTGTGTAAAGTTCTACGGGTCTTATCAATGTTTAAGGTTTTGTATCTTCCATTATAGTATCATACAGAATAATTTTGCTGTCCTAAAAATCCTCTGTGCTTTATCTATTTGTCTCTCCTCTTGAACTCCAAACCTCTGATGACCACTGATCACTATCTCTATAGTTATGCCTTTTCCAGAATGTCATATAATTGGAATATACAACACTCAATCTTTTCATATTGGCTTCTTTCACTTAAAATATTCATTTAAGTTTCCTCCATATCTTTTTCTTAGCTTGATAGTTCATTTCTTTTTATTTATGAATAATAGTTCATTGTACAGATTTACCAGTTGGTTTATATTCACTTTTCCGTGTAAATTTTAGGATTGGTTTGCCAATATCCACAAAATAATTTTCTGGAATTTTTATTGGGATTGTGTTGAATCTGTACATCAATTTAGGAAGAACTAACATGTTAACAATAGAATCTTTCAATCTGTGAACATAGTCTGTTTCTCCATTTATTTAAATCTTCTTTGAATTCTTTCATTATACTTTTTTAAAGAGATTTTATTTATTTGAGAGAGAGAGAGAGCACAAGCAGGGGGAGGAGCAGGGGGAGAGGGAGAAGCAGACTCCCGACTGAGCAGGGAGCCCAATGTGGAAATTGATCCTCGGACCCTGAGACCATGACCTGAGTGGAAGACAGATACTTAACCAACAGAACCATCCAGGTAACCCACAAATTTTTTCATTATAATTAATAGTTTTCTTCATGTGACTCCTGAACATTGTTAGATTTATACCTACCTATCTCATATTTGGTGCTATTATAAATGTAATTGTGTTTTTATTTTAAATTCCAATGTTCATTGGCTTATACCCTCTGATCTTACTGTAATAATTTATTCACATCAGGAGGGTTTTTTTGTTTTTGTTTTTTGATTCTTTGGATCTATCTAGATTTTTGATCTAGACAATCAAAAATCTGCAAACAATGACAGCTTTATGTCTTCCTTCCCAAATATTTTATTTCCTTTTCTTATCTTAATGCACTAGCTAGGTCTTTTAGTACAATGATGAACAAGAGTGGTAAGAGGGTGGGGCACCTGGGTGGCTCAGTAGGTTAAGCATTTGCCTTCAGCTCAGGTCATGGTCCCAGTGTCCTGGGATCGAGCCCCACATTGGACTCCCTGCTTAGCAGGGAGTCTGCTTCTCCCTCTCTCACTCCTCCTGTTTGTGCTCACTCTGTCTCTCTCTCTCTCTCTGCCAAATAAATAAATAAAATCTTTAAAAAAGAAAAGAGTGATGAGAGGGTACATCCTTGCCTTTTTCCTAGATTATTTTAAAGCAAGTCCCAGATGTCATATCACTTTATCTGTGAGTCTTTTGATATGTAGCTCCTAAATATAAGGACTCTTTAAAAACAATAACCATGATACTGTTATCATATTTTTAAAAATCAACAATATCCCTTAATATCACCAAATATAGAGCAGAATGATTTTAAACCTTTTCTGTTATTACTTAACACTCACAGCCCACCATGTTACACATATATCATGAGTGAGGCTATCTGCACACTTACCACAGGTTCTCCTTCCTCCACAGTGTGGATCTTGATGTAGGTGCCCACTGCAGCCTCTTCAGGGAGATCACCATACTTGGTTCTGATCATGGAACACTCAAGCGAACAAGGACGCCTGGATCTGAAATTTGACAGTTTGTTAAAGAAAACTCATTTGTCACACAGCCAGTTCATAAGGCCCTGAACAGTCAGCCCCCACTCTGCCTCACAGTGAGACTTCCCCTCCCTGGAGAACTCACACTGACCCCAGAAAGTGAGAAAATGCAAATCAGGCCCTGGAAGAGACTACGATGTCAGGAACTGGAGAAGTTTAATAGGGGGAAGACTAGGAGAGAAAGAGATACACCCCTTTTAAACACTTGAAGGCTGTTATGTGGAAGAAGGGGTTGATGAGCTCATGCAGCTGAGCCAGACCAGATGGATGAGAAGTCCAGGCTGGCTGACGGATGCTCAACATGGGGAAGAAATCTCTAAATCAGAGCTGTCCAATAATTGAACAGACTGCTTTGACATTGAGTCAGCTCTGTGCCCCCTGGGGACACAGCAGAGGTTTGGGCTCTCCTTCTTGGCAGGAAAACAAAAAATAAATGGCTTTGTTTCTTTGTTTAAAAGACAGGTTTCCTTGGGCAGCCTGTAGATTCTGTACTTTGTTCATGTTGGAATTAATTTTATACAGCAATCCTGTTGTGCTTTCTTTGTCTAGGTGAGGTATAAGGAAGTGACAGGCTATGTTAGTTGGATTAGAGGCAGAAAAAAATTGTCAGCTGAGAATATAGCTGATATATTCACCCAACTCATAAACTCACACAACACATAAACAAGGCAGCCTACAATTCTCACCCCCCCGGGACATGCCCAGCATGGTTTTTATTCTTCTGGGTCCAATATGTCTCTTCTCCCTTACTGATTTACAGAAGAGAAATTGGGTCTGTTCCAACCCTACCTTCAGAAGAACTGGGACTGGGACTTGAAGCACTGGATCCCTTGGAAAGAATATCCACCAGAGGGAATAACAACTCAGAAGTCATGGGATGCTCCTTATGGAGGCCAGCAGGCTAGAAATGTTAATAGGCAAAGGACTTGAGTGTAATGGTACTTTGGGCAGCATGGAGATTGTGACACTGATGTTATTAGTATCATTGTGATATTTTAATTTTGCATTTAATGGTGGTTGTGGGGGAGGTGTTATGTTGCTCTGGGTCCAGCATTGAGCTATATCTCTAGGCAGGTACCACTGAGTGTCCTTTCCTAATCCTCAGCCTCTCTGGTTTGAGGCAAAAGTGCGGCCCTCATTGTGTATTCTTATTCCAGCCATAACAGTCGTACCAAACAACAAAACTGAGCACTAATCAGCTGCTCAGGTTTGAATCCTGGTTCTGTCACTCCCTACCTGGATGACCTCAAACAAGTAAGTTAGTCTCTCTCTGTAGTTTGGTTCTCTCATCTGAAAAATGGGACTGATAACTATACTTACCCCATAGACTTATTGGGAAGATTAAATTAGATAATCCAGTACCAAGCACAGAATATTCCACAAGTGTTAGCTATAATTACTATTATCTTATTTAATTGCTGGCTTATGACAATACTAAGACTTAAATACTATTATCTACAGAGAAGAGAACTATGGCTTAGAGATGTCAAGCCTCTTGTGCAAGGACACAGAGCTAAAATAAGTGGCCAAGCCAGGACTTGGACCTGGGTTGAAGTGACACCAAAGCCCAGGCTCTAATCTACTGCCTCCTTTAGATGGGTAGAATTTTCTGAAGAGGCTCAGAGTTAGAAAGGTCCACTGACACACAGACCAAGTATCAGAGCCAAAAGATCTGCCCTACCTCTCCTTCTTCATATGGGTTCCCTAAGAAAGGAAGAAGCTAACCACCTAAAGTGATCCTGTGCATTACAGGCACAGAATGCAGCTCTTGGGTCTCAAATCTAGGATTCTCTAGGCTGCCTTTTATATATACTCCAACCTTTGGTGTTGAGCGGTGCCTGATACCTCTGACCCCTTCCCAGTATTCCTGACATTCTGTCCTTTTAAGTCATATCTCCCTTTTCAACCAGAATCTGGACCCTTCTTTCTGCGAGGAGCTAACTAAGCTTACTTGATCTTTGGGCCCAACATCTTTGGAAGAGTATTTCCTGAAGTTTTAATCCTCCTACTGAAGCTGGTCCCCTGTTGCTCCCAGGAGTTCTGGAGATGCTTCAGTTTCAGAGAGCTAAAGTCCTGTACAGGATATGATTTGATCTGGAATTCCTTAAATCTCTCCACAGAAGGTTCTGTTAGAGAAAGCACAGAAAAACACATTAATAGTTCTTTGCATATATGAGGCCTGTGCTGACGATGGTGAAAGGTATCCCCTACTCATCTGCCTGGCCAGGCTGGTACATGAGAAAATACGGAAAAGAAAAAAGGAAAGCACTGTGGTTTCCATGTATTGTCTCTCTCTGCCAGGTCCTGAGCAGAGCCTTCACATACATTACATCCAGACAAATGTCACTGGCTCCATTTAAGAAATCAATGAGCATCCAAGAGTTTAAGTCACCCAGAAAAGGGCTGAAGCTTGGATTTAACTCAAGTCTACCTGATTTAAAGCTCATAACTTTCCACTAATAGATCATATTTATCTGGGACTGGGGAGAGAGGCAGCAGTAAGAGCTAAAGGAATGATGAGCCATAAAATCTTAGATGAGGTAATTTTCTGGAGCCTTCATAGGATTATTATAAGAATTACAGATCAAGGGCTCCTGGGTGGCTCAGTCAGTTAAGCCTCTGACTCTTGATTTCAGCTCAAATCAGTCTCAAGTTCCTGGGATCAAGCCCCACATCAGGTTCTGTGCTCAGCATGGAGTCTGCTTAAGACTCTCTCTCCCTCTCCCTCTGCCCTCCATGCCCCCACCTTGTGCACAGTCTCTCAAATAAATAGTCTTTTTTAAAAAATAGATCTTTAGTGTTAGAATAAACTATTAAAATCAATGTTAATAAAAATAAATCCAAAATCTACAGAAAATAGGCCTAAATTAACAGAACACATATAAAAAGCCCTGAATAAACATTTTTGGAAGGCTTTTTTGTCAATATCCATCAATATTTTAAGTGAGCATGACCAGTATGCACTGGATTGATTACTTGATTCAATAATTCTAAGAATTTACCCAATATTTCCTTGTATAGGGATGCAAAGATAAACATACCATGAAAATCGCCCCAGCAAGGTAATAGTGAAAAATTGGAAATTACTCAAAATATCTATAAAAGGTCATTGTTTTAACTAATTGTGGTATATACATACAGTAGGATAAAACTCAGCCATTAAGATATAAATACAGATCTAAAAAAAGAAAGAAAAAGAAACACAAATCTATACTTATGCTTCCAGCCAAATGGACTAACAGGGACTAGACTTACTCTCCCACCTAAAACTACTAAAAAAAACCTGGGATAAATGTATGAGAAAATGGCTTTCAAGACATTGGGCATAAGGTCATGAAGAAATCATCCCTGCAAGATAGAAACAAATGAGGTAAGCCCTACTATTGCCCAAGCTTACTGCCTGGAGGTTTTCCAAGCCATGTTGCAGGGAGAGGGAACCCAGGGGGAGCTCAGAAATTTTCCTGAATTGATGAGACAGAAATGAGAGTTTGGGGAGGACAAGGCAATGAGAATTCATAGAGCACAGTACCTGAGAGCAGAGAGCTGCGCAAAGAAAGAACTCTGAAGATCAAGGCATAATAAATGGAAACGTATTCTATATTCATGGATTGGAAGACTCAGTATCATTAAGATATCAATACCACTCAAAGTGAGCTATGGATTCAATGCAGTCCCTATCAAAATCTCAGTGACTTTTTGCAGAAATGGAAAAATCCATCCTAAAATTTTTATGAAATCTCAAGGGACCCCAGATAACCAAAACAATCTTGAAAAAGAACAAATGAAAGGACTTATACTTCCTGATTTCAAAACTTACTACAAAACTACAGTAATCAAAGTAATGTATGTAGTATTGGCATAAAGATAGACATATAGACCAAAATAATAAAGAGCCCAGAGATAAACCCTCAGATATATGGTCAAATTATTTTGGCCAAGGGTGCTAAAAATTCAATGGGCAAGAACAGTCTTTTCAACAAATGGTGCTGGGAAAACTGAATATCCATATGCACAAGAATGAAGTTAGATCCTTCCATCCCACCACATATAAAAATTAACTCAAGGGATCCCTGGGTGGCTCAGCAGTTTACTGCCTGCCTTTGGCCCAGGGCGCGATCCTGGAGACCCGGGATCGAATCCCACATCGGGCTCCCGGTGCATGGAGCCTGCTTCTCCCTCTGCCTGTGTCTCTGCCTCTCTCTCTCTCTCTCTCTTTCTGTGTGTGACTATCATAAATAAATAAATAAAATAAAATAAAATAAAAATAAAAATAAAAATTAACTCAAAATAGATCAAAGATCTAAATGTAAGGCCTAAAACTATTAAACCCTTAGAAGAAAACACAGTGCAAAAGCATCACAACATTGGATTTGGCAGTGATTTCCTGTACATATATCAAAGGCACAGGCAACAAAAGAAAAAATGGACAAATTGGACTTCATGAAAATATAAAAAGTTCATCCATCAAAAGACAATATCAACAGAGTAAATAGGCATCCCGCAGAATGAGATAAAATATTTGCAAATCATATATCTGGTAAGAGATTACCATCCAAAATATATAGAAAATTCCTAAAACTTAAAAAAACAAAAATAGATAACCAATTTTTAAAAGGCACAAAAGCTTGCATAGACATTTCTCCAAAGCAGATATGTGAATGGCCAATAAGCTCACAAAAAGATGCTCAACATCACCAATTATTGGAGAAATACAAATCAAAACTACAATAAGATACCACCTCATATCCATTAGGATGAATATCATTTTTAAAAACTGAATAAACAGAACATAACAAGCACTGGTGAGGATGTGGAAAGACTGGAACTCTTGTGCATTGTTGGTGGGAATGTGAAATGTTACAGACACTATGGAAAATAGCATGGCAATTCCCTAAAAATATTAAAAATAAAATTACAAATGACCCAGCAATTCCTCTTCTGAGTATATGTTAAAAAGAAAACAGGGTCACAAAGAGATAACTATACACCCATGCTCATAGCAACATTATTCACTATAGCTAAAACATTTAAGTTCTCAAGTGTCCATCGATGGATGAATGGATAAGCAAAAAGTGATATATACATACAGTGGAATATTATTCAGGCTTAGAAAGGAAGGAAATTCTGACATAGGCTACACAATATGATGATCCTTGAGGGCAGCATGCAGAGCGAAATAAGCCAATCACACAAAGACAAATACTATATACTTCCACTTAATTGAGGAAATAGTGTTGATGGCTGTCCAATATATTTAATATGAATGAATATATTTAATTACCACTGAACTGTATGTTTAAAAATAGTTGAGATAGGAAATTTTATGCTATGTGTATTTTGCCACAATGAAGAAAAAACTTGGGTAAAAACTTTTATGGGATGCAGCTTTCCTCTGGTGGATTGGCAGTGGAAAAGAAAGAAAAAGAACTGACATGAGAGGGCAGCCCAGGTGGCTCAGCGGTTTAGCGCTGCCTTCAGCCCAGGGCGTGATCCTGGGGACCCGGGATGGAGTCCCACATCAGGCTCCCTGCATGGAGCCTGCTTCTCTCTCTGTGTCTCTCACGAATAAATAAATAAAATCTTAAAAAAAAAAAACTGACATGAGAAGTGACATTTCCTGTGCACCTGTGTATAGACCCTGTTCATACACAAGCTGATTCAGCCTCCCTTGTAACCTGTATGATAAAGACGACAGATTTCTACTATATACTAATACATCCAGGTAGCATTCTAAGAGCTTTATATATTTATTTGCTTAATTTCATTAATAAGTCTAAGAGGTAGGGACTATCCCAGGGAACTGCTGGCACAGGGACACAGTATCACACAGCTAGGAAGAGAAGGACCCTGGATTCAAACACAAGCAGTTAGGCTCCTGGGCCGGTGGGCCTAACCACAACACTACTGTGACGGATATGAAGAAACCAGGCCCAGAGGCTTGGGTACTCACCAGAGTCATCCAGCTAATCAGGGAGATTCAAATCCAGCTCTGTCAAGTTCCAGGCTCCTTCCACCCCTCTCCCCAGGAGCACCTGACACAAAGGGAAAGCCTAAAAAGGAGGAGCTGGGGGGGGGGGGGGCAGGAGCCTCACCTGGTGGGGCAATGTGGGCCACGTCGCCACAGCTGGGAGTAGAGGGGATCAAACCAGACATCCTGCCGGGCCTTTCTAGCTCTAGAGGTCTAAGATTCTAGGGGCAGGGAACTGGGAGCAGCAGGGCCCGGGCGCCCCCTGCTGTGCGCAGCTGCCAGTTACCATTGAGGTGGGTCTTCAGAGATCCGCCATCTATGAGCTCCAGGTGCTGCCAAATCCACTTGTAGTAGAAAGGTGAGGTCCCAAGGTCTATCAGACGCAAGACTTCACAGCTGCCCTGGGAACATCAAGGGACATAAACAAAAGGGCTAGCCCCTGAGGCTCCAGGCAGGCCAGACTTTGAAGATGAGCTCTATTGCATCTTACCCCAGTTTACTTGGCTAAACGCAAGTGCTTTTCAGGTTCCTTTAAAAAAATTTTTTTAATGAAAATGTTACCTATTTCTCCTAAGTTCAAATAGTTAAATAGGCATGAGAACGGAAACAAATGTTGGCACTGGGGGGAAAAATCACCATAGAGAATGTTCTTGGGACACCAGGTGAAACTGACTATGGACTATAGATCATATGGTACATCAATGTTAAATTCCCTGATTTGGATAATTATTCTGCAGTTAATTTCTGGCTTTAGAAAATAATCACTGAAGTATTCAGGGGTAAGTGAGTATAATGAATAATATTTAACTCTCAATTCAGGCAGGGAATCATAAATATGTATATATTTACATGCAAATGTGGCAAAATGTCAACAGTTGGTGAATCTGGATCCAGGTTACTTAGGGGTTCTTTGTACTGTTCTCACAACTTTTCTATAAATTTAAAACACTTCCAAAATTAAAAGTTTAAAAGACATTCAAATCAAACAGAAGAACATAAACTTAAAACTATTTTATCCTAACACCCAGAAATAACAAGTAGTATAGCATTTTGGTGACAACTAGTTCAAACTTTTCTCTGAAGATGTATATACATATACAATTTTTCATAAGTGAGTAATTTCATATAAAACAGATTCTTATGACTTAAAAAAAAAAAACCTTAATAAATAGGGCAGCCCGGGTGGCTCAGCAGTTTAGCGCCTGCCTTCAGCCCAGAGTGTGATCCTGGAGATCTAGGATCGAGTCCCACATTGGGCTCCCTGCATGGAGCCTGCTTCTCCCTCTGCCTGTGTCTCTGCCCCCCTCTCTCTCTGTGTCTCCCATGAATAAATAAATAAAATATTAAAAAGAAAACTCAATAAATACATCAAGGACATAATTTCACACCAAGTAACATGGTTCTACATTATTGTTTTTAATGATTGCATATTATTCTATGTATGCCATAACTGACATATAATTTAAAATAAGATATAGTTTATCAAAAGAAGTCCAACATAAAGAACACACATTGTATGATTCTATTTATATTAATTGAAAGAACAGGCAAAAGTAATCTTCTGATAGAGTCAGAAGAGTGGTTATCTTTGGTGGGGGGGATTCTGCCTGGGGAAGGGTACAAGGGAGCCTTCCGGGGTGCTAGAAATTATCTCTATCTTGGTTTGAGTAATGCTTATACAGGTGTATACATAAGTCACAATTCACTAAGCTGTAAAGTTTAGATATGAGTTCTTTATTGCATGCATGTTATACTTCAAGAAAATATTTTTGAGGATTAATATACAGTTGTTTCTAATTTGTCAGTATTATATATAATTCTGATTTTGCTCAGGACAACAAAACCCCTTTTATAAAACTCACTATCTTAAACTCTCCTGCAGTGGGGGGATGGCAGTGATGCAGTTCTGGCTAATGACCTGTAAGTGGAAGACTGATGAATAAAACTCCCAGGAAACTTACGGTTGTCCTTCCCCTCTACCTCCGACTGAATCTCAGATGTGACAGCCAGAGGTAGAATAGTCATGTTGTGACCACTAGGATGAAAGTTATAAGTTGTGGATGATGAGGGGAGAAGCTAGAAGGGGACTGGGGTCTTGAGGACTTCCTCAAACAACTTTCTAGCCTTGGATTGCTTAATTCTAGACTCCTGCAAAACAAAATTACTATTCACTAAGCCATTGCAGTTGTGTTTCTAAGACAGCAACTTTAACTGATAATCTTGTACACACATCTTAATGCCCAGAATGGTCATTAAGGCAGTTCACAAATACTAAAGTTCTCCTCCCAAACACAAGGTAGGATTGTATTTTTTTCCTTTGAATCAGACATGGCCTTCTTACTTGCTTCGGCCACTTTCCTTAGCAAAGTGACTTCTGATAATCTGAATGGGAACTTTAAAAGCCAGTGCTTGATTCTTAACATTACCCCTCCCTTGTCCTATTGACTATGGAAGCATCAGTGAAGATAGTTTCCAGTGGCCTGGGTCTCCAAGTGACTATGAAAAGCAGGGCCTCCTGCTGATCTGCTGTGATCAAGTAGTGGGACGAAGGAATGTGTCTTTGTTAGTTAATTCACTGAGGTTTGAGGATTGCTTATAATTGCAGTACAATCTAGTTTATCCTAATTTAATACTCATGTTTGATTACCCCCTTGGGATTGTTTCCTACAGGTTCATGTGTTTTAAAGTTCAATACGCATTGCCGAACTGCCTTTCAGAAATGTTAGTTTATACTCCTCCAGCAGTGCATAACTGTTATATCTTTGTGTTACATTGACAACTGAGTTTTCAATCCTGAGTTTTCACAATCCTTTCAATCTTTCCTGATCTGATAGGAAAGAAAGGTATGCCATTTTTCTGATTTATTCCATATCTTTATAAAATCTTACCTTTTTTTAAGTAGGAACTGTAAGAGACACATTATAGTTAAAGTTCAAGACAAATTACCATTGAAGAGAAAGGAGAAGGGATCAAACATTTAATAAACCCTCATTATGTACCAGGTGTTGGGCTTGGAGGTTTAGTCAACATTCATACAACATTTATCAACAGGAAACTGCTGGTGCCAGAAAAACACAGGTGAACACTCCTCTCAGAAAGTCTCTTGTGGGTCTTTAATCCCATCTGTATCTGTGTAGGAAACAATTTCACCATGTGCCCCCAAGTGATAAATTGTCCAAAATGAGCTGATTGGGAGCACTAACTATGTTTTCTGTGGCACCAGAAAATTACCTTCCCTAACATTCCGGGTTTGGCAGGACACCCAGGCCTCTCACTGCTGATATCGCCCTCTCGAGGCCATGTCCACAAACTACAGGAGCTGGGACGACCCAGCCTCCTTAGATGAATACTCCCAACAGCTGGCCTGGTGGGAAATAAAAAAAAAAATGGGAGAAAACAGCAGTCCCTTTAAATGGGGGCAGGTGCTCTTCAACTCCAGCCAGAGGGGGCTGCATCGCAGTACAGCCTGGTATTGCCTGATCTTCTGAATATTCAAAAGAAACCAGAAATCCGAAATTTTATCCACAATCTTCATAATGATTAAATCAGCTTTGAATAAAACACTGTAAAGGACAAGTCAAACTCACTTACTAGCCAGGATGTCCCATACACACCTGCTGTCACTTTGTGACATCTGTATCATTTTTCTCAGAATGAACTTCAAGAGTGCCTGCATTAGAATCACGGGCTATGCTTATTCAAATGCAGATTGCCAGAGTTAATGAATGAAACTCCCTGGGGTAAGGCAGAAATTTGCCTTTTTAAGAAGCTCCTTAGGGGCACCTGGGTGGCGCAGTCTGTTAAGCATCTGCCTTCTGCTCAAATCATGATCCCAGGGTCCTGGGATTGAGCTCCACATTGGGCTCTCTGTTCAGTGGAGAGCCTGCTTCTCCCTCTCCCTCCTGCTCATGCTCTCTCTCACTCTCTCTCTTAAATAAATAAAATATTAAAAAAAAAGAAGCTCCCTAAAGTGTTCTTTATGCTTAGTCAAATCTGAAAAACTCTTCCCTTAAATCTGAGTTCTCCAATTTTAGTGACATCAGAATCACCTGGAAGGGTTGTCAAAACAGAGCTTTGGATTGAATGGCTCCTGGGTAGGCTTGAGAATCTGCATTTTTAGTGAGTTCCCAGGTGATAGCTGATTAATTCCACTGATCCAGGGACAACAACTCAGAACCATTGAATTTGAGGATGAATGTGAACTAGTAAGTCTGTGCAAGACTCACTCACTCTTATCCTTAAAGACCTTATGAGGTAAGACAAAGAAATGGAGGCTAAAACAGAACTTTCTGCTGGTCAAGATGTAATAATCATGCTGAAAAGCAGGTCTTGAACTTTTATCCCTTACCACTCGTGCCCCCTATCTTTCCTGGCTATATATTATCAAAAGACCTCAGAGTTAAATTTGTGAACACATGGCAATCTTGGCTTTGGAGGTGATCACCCCCAAATTTTAGGAAAGAGGAAGCAGATGCCAGGGAGGAAAAGGAATTACAAAGAATTCAGATTGGCCTTCAGGGCTCCCTGCTACCATTCCCTCTTCTAGGATCTCCCCACTCTCCTCACATGACCATCAGAATCCTCCAAACTTATTAAACTATTTCCTGTGGCTGGCAAGGGCCTCATCCCCACCATCCTCTGGGTCAGATCCTGTGCATCCAGTCCCTTAGCGTGTAGAGGCTGGAAACCAAATGCTCCCAAACATCTCCCAAACCCCCTTGCAGCCAAGGAGGTGATTTGGGTCCCCATGCGGGGATGCACTTGGGCACGTTTGGTTTTGGACTGGAGAACCTCCGTCATGTTCGTGGAGGCAGGGGCTATAGATGTGGATTCCTGAACTTGGCAAGAGCAGCAGCCCCTGTGACTGTCCAGTCTGGACTCTGACTTGGAGTCATTTGGGGTCATCTTCAGTCTAAGGTCTGTTCCTTCAGGCCTCCCCATCACCAGTAAGTCTGTTAGCCCTTCACCATCCTGCAATAACTCCCTTTTGCGCTCATTTAGCCAGTCTCAACTCTCTTCTCTGGGACTGAACCCAGAATAAATAATAACGCAAACACTCCCCTGGTGATAAGTTTAATAATTGGCTCTCTGGGAAAATGTATGCATGTCTATAAATCTTATGCTTGTAAAGGGTGTGCTGCACACAATTTATAAATAATAATAAAACATACTACACTCTTACTGAAAGTTCCATATAGCCAAGCGATACTCACTGAACGTTGTTGCAAACTCTGGCTGAGTTCTTGTAACAACCATGACAAATCTATAGCCACAATTCAACCGTGATTTGACGAATGAAATTGCATCTAATCCATTCTTTTCCCAATAAATTTAATATTATCAAGTCTGGTTTGTGATATACTGGCAAACTCCTTCTCACTCTTGTATAAATTACATTCATTAACTAAGACCGCCTCTAGCTTTAGCACTACGTATATTGGAACTTCGCTTATCATTGATAAACTCCCATGATGAATCTATGATAAATAATGTTTATTTTTTTAAAAAGATTTTATTTATTTGAGAGAGAGTGAAAAAGAGCATAAGCAGGGGGGAGAGACAGAGGCAGACTCCCCATCAAGCAGGGAGCCCGATGCAGAACTCTATCCCAGGACCTTGGGACCATGACCTAAGCCAAAGACACTTCAGGCTTTGAAGTGAAGTGTCTGAACCACCCAGGAGCCATGAATAGTGTTTAAATAAGGAAAAACATTTCCATAATTTTCTTCTATTTACAATGTAATGGCTACAGACCCAGCCCACTCTTAAATGTAATCTGCATCATAAACATTTTCTCTATAGCTTTAAGACAAATCAGCAAAACCATAAATCAAAACCTGACTCAGGGTGTCTGCTGATTTCCATTGTATATATACTCCTGCTGGGGCCAATTTTCAGGTACCAACATGAAGTCACAGAATGTGGAGGTGGGAAGATACATGTATGATTGTGCAGTATTCCCACCAGATAGATAAAACAGAAATAAATAAACTCTGGAGCACAGAGAGTAGTAAAATGCAATAACGTCATTAGGAAATGATGAATTTTCAGTATCTATTACTCTTGTTTTCCATAAACTGTACTTAATTGTATATTTATATAATTTAATTTCTGATAATTATTGTGTTTGCCATCTTGCAAAACTCCTGAAAACTTAATCAGGTCTCACAGGCCGATGAGAGCCAGCTCTAGCACACAATCAATCTTGCCCCTCCTTTTGTCTAATGGTCCAAAACTTCAAGGCTCAACTCTTCCCTCACCTTGTCCAGATAGCCTTCTTTAAGACCCCAGCCTTGGGATCCCTGGGTGGCGCAGTGGTTTGGCGCCTGCCTTTGGCCCAGGGCGCGATCCTGGAGACCCGGGATCGAATCCCACATCGGGCTTCCGGTGCATGGAGCCTGCTTCTCCCTCTGCCTGTGTCTCTGCCTCTCTCTCTCTCTGTGACTATCATAAATAAATAAAAATTAAAAAAAAGACCCCCAGCCTTTAGAGAGAGGCCTCTCTCCTAAATCCTTGTAACTCAAAGAATTTGCATTAATCACTTGGTAGTTGGCCTGGATAACTTTGTCTTTGCTCAGTATCTAGTGGAAGGGAGGTATAAGGAAAGAGAAAGAGTCTTTTCCATCTTCATATCCCTCCAGAGCATGAACCAACCTTGGCAAAAAAATCAACAAATGTTTGGTGGCTTAATGTGAGCAATAGCTATATGGGAAATACTGAAAGTTTGAGGGCATAGTTCTGGCTCTGCCATTTAGTAAATGGGTGGCCTTTGTTAAGTGTCTTAACTTCAACTTCTTCATTATAAATGTGGAATAATAATAACTTCCTGATAGGGATCCCTGGGTGGCGCAGCGGTTTGGCGCCTGCCTTTGGCCCAGGGCGCGATCCTGGAGACCCGGGATCGAGTCCCACGTCGGGCTCCTGGTGCATGGAGCCTGCTTCTCCCTCTGCCTGTGTCTCTGCCTCCCTCTCTGTGTGTGTGACTATCATAAATAAATAAAAATAAAAAAAAATAACTTCCTGATAGAGCTATGGTGGAGATTTATGGTGAAATGGTACTACTTACACAGGTAGTCATCAAAGCACCGCTTAAAATAGCAAAAGACTGGGACAACCAGTCAGTCCATCAATCGGGAACTGGCTAGGGATGCCTGCATGACTTAGGGGTTGAGCATCTGCCTTCAGCTCAGAACGTGATCCTTGGGTCCTGGGATCGAGTTCCACATCAGGCTCCCTGCAGGGAACCTGCTTCTCCCTCTGCCTTTGTCTCTGCCTCTCTCTGTCTCTCATGAATAAATAAATAATCTTTAAATTAAAAAGAAACAGGGAACTGGATAGGTAAATTCAAGTGCAATCATATAGTTAAACACTGCACAAATGGTAATATATATACGTTTTTTCTGGACTGATGTGGAGCAATCTGCAGAAATACTCTTGAAACAGCCAACTGCAGAACAGCCTACATCATATGACACCATTTATGAAAACAAGGAAAGAACATACACATGCAGGGGTGCCTGGGTGGCTCAGTTGGTCCTGGGATCAAGCCCTGCATTGGGCTCCTTACTCAGCACAGAGCCTACTTCTCCCTCTCCCTCTGCCTGCCACTCCCCTGCTTGTGCACTCTCTCTGTCAAATAAAATCTTTTAAAAAAAAGAACATACACATGCATTTACCTTTATATTCAGGGAAGAGACTGTGGTACAGACACAGAGGAACATGGTGACAGTGACGATCCCCAGTGAGGAATACTGGGCAGCAGGGGAAAGAGGTGAGAGGGAGACATTACTCTTTTGAACTTTTTGAATTTCGAACCACGTGCATGTATTATCTGTTCCAAAACAAACCAAAAAAAAAAAATGAACAATGCTAGTAGAACCCCTGGTACAGAAGCAAAGGGTCTCAAAAACAGGTCAGTTCTCAAGATGATTGTGAAAAGTACATAGTAGTTGAGGAGAGTCAACAAGTGACAGAAAGGTCGACTCAGATCGCAAAGCTTTTGTTATCAACCAACAAAGAAGTTGGCACAGGACAGAAATCAATGCACAAAAGACAAAATGTAGATAGTAAACAAACACGATGAGTCTCACCAGGAATCAGGAAAAATGTAAATTAAATCCTCAATGAGATAGCAATTGCCATCTATGAAATTAGGAAAGTTTTGAGAGGACGGGGAAGCCTGGCAGAGGTGTGTGACACCTGTAAAGATGCACACTGCTAGATAAAGTGGATTCTTTTGGACAGCAACTTGTTTCAAGGTCCATGAGCATGATGATACCAAGCAACTCCACTTCTGAAAATCTATTTTGAGGTGATGAGGCTATGGGTGATTTCTTCTCTCTTTCCAGAACTATGTTTTATAATGTGGGTTGTACCATATCTGTAATTTAAAGATTATAATTTGTATTTACTTTTAAAGATTTTATTTATTTATTCATGAGAGACACAGAGAGAGGCAGAGACATAGGCAGAGGGAGAGGGACTCAATCCCAGGACCCCAGGATCATGACCTGAGCCAAAGGCAGACACTCACCCACTGAGCCACCCAGGCATCCCAAAGATTATGATTTTTAAAATGGTGATCTGGCATCATGAGGATTCAAGGGCCAAATGCATAATTTAAATATGTAACTGTATGTAAATAAGCATGTATTGCTCCTTGAGGAGGGGGTACCTCCGAGGCCCTCTTTCTACTATAACATGGTATCTCAAAGTTCACAGCAATCCTCTGAGGGAGGGAGGCCAAACTGTGTGGTATGCCTTTTACAGCTAGAACACGGACGCTCAGAAAAGGAGGTGCTGCAGAACAGGGCTCAGCCCTTGCCTGTGTGGCCACAGGACATTAGACTAGCTGCGCCTTCCCAGCTTCCATCCCTCCCTCCCAGGCCTCTCACCTTGCTGACAAACATGATAGACGATGATTCTACAAAGTCTTTTGAGATCAGCCGCCCATATGAGAATTTTTCCACCTTCCCCAGGTTTACGAGGTTCCAGAGCTTCTCATCAGACCACGACTCAAACAGATCCATTTTCCTGAGGGGAATATCCTGTTAGAATTCATTGCCCTCGGGGATCTCTGGGTGGCTCAGCGGTTTAGCGCCGCCTTCAGCCGGGGTGGGATCCTGTAGACCCGGGATCGAGTCCCACATCGGGCTCCCTGCATGGGGCCTGCTTCTCCCTCTGCCTGTGTCTCTGCCTCTCTCTCTCTATGTCTATCATAAATAAATGTAAAAATATTTTTTAAAAAAAGAATTCATCGCCCTCCATCACAGAAGGTGCCCAGCTTTCAGCAATTTCCAGAAAGGAAACATGTCATCCAGCCTCCTGCAGCCTGTTAACTTCAAATACTCAGGCCTGTGCCTGATGAATGGGGACATCTGGACTAATCACTTCTTGCCTTTCTTCCCTGTGACTGAAGGCCTACCCTGCAGTGCCCACCACTCAGGGGCTCGCCTTCCCTCACATGCAGCCCGCCCCACAGGCTGCTGACAACCAGCTCATATTTTCTTAGTTCCAACAGATAACGAGCCCAGAACTCAGGTGACTCAGGGGATGGAGTTCCATGCAGGGCACCAAGGAGGAACAGGGTGGGTGCCATGTCCAGAGAACAGTCTGGAGACACAGGAAGGAGAGCAGGGTCACCACAGAAGGGACACCACCAGGCCACAGACTTCCCACCATCACCTCATTCAATCCTTACCATGATCTGGGAGAGATGACTTGTTATCCCCGTTGTACAGAGCCAGATCCCAAACTCAGAGAAGGGAGGTGACTCATCTATGGCCACATAGTTGATAAGCCAGAGAGCTGTGATGGCAGCTCAGCCCTACTTTCCCACTGTGTGAAAACAGGCAGTGCTCCTCCCGGCAGGACTAAGTCCTCCCTTTGCAGCCAGCCCTCCCCTGACCCCCATCCCTCTCACACTCTCACAGCTCCTACTCTCTCCGCTCTCCTCCACCCTACAGGGCAGCCCTCTGCCACAGCACTGCCCTAGAGCCACATGGTCCTACAACCTGTATTTTCAGGGCCGGTGCAGATACTTTATCTGCTTTTCATTCTTTTCCAAAAGGCCAGTTACTAGAAATGAGAAGACGAGTACCTGCGTGTGCCTGGCATGATGACAACATGGGGGGGCCCATGGCAAAAGAGCCACTCTGCCCTCACTACCATAAGGGTTTCCTGACTGGGGGGGCAAGTAAACTGTAAACTTGTATTGTGTGATCAAGAATTATAGTTTGGCTGGCTTTAAAGAAACACAGGATGTGGGGATCCTTGGGTGGCTCAGCGGTTTGGTGCCTGCCTTCGGCCCGGGATCGAGTCCCACGTCAGGCTCCCTGCATGGAGCCTGCTTCTCCCTCTGTCTGTGTCTCTGCCTCTTTGTCCCTCTCTCTGTGTTTCTCATGAATAAATAAATAAATAAATAAATAAATAAATAAATAAATAAATCTATCTTAAAAAAAAAAAAGAAAGAAACACAGGGTGTGATAGAAGCATTGGGGGTTCTCTCTCCAACCTGGAGTGAGGGCAGATCAGGTTGCTTAGTGAGGTGGCACAGTGAAGCCCAAAGACTTCTGAATTGAACATTTTAGGTACATCACCACCTGGAGGCTTGGTTCCCTTACCTATAAACTAGAGAGAACAGGGGTGCCTGGTGATTAAATGTCTGCTTCAGCTCAGGTCATGATTCCAGGATCCTGGAATGGAGCTCCACATCGGTCTCCCTGCTCAGCGGGGAGCCGACTTCTCCCTCTCCCTCTGCCCCTTTCCCCTGCTCATGCTTGCTCATGGTCCCTCTCTCTCTAATAAATAAATAAAAGTTTTTTAAAAATTAAAAATAAACTGGACAGAACAAGAGAAACAAGGTCATGGGATTAAATGAGTTAAGGTAAAAGCCCTGGTACAAAGAGTTTAGCACCCCACCTGGCTCTGCCAGTACTCCATACACATGAGCTCTTCTATTAGTACTATCCCACAAGAAAGGGATGTTTGAGCTTAGACCTGAAGGTACAGTAGGAGTTTGCTAGACAGAGAAGCCAGGTGGGAGGTGTTTCCCATCTCCACAGCATTCTAGGCAGAGAGAAGAGCACCTACTGTTTCCCACGGGACCTAGGACAGCCAGGCACCTAACAAACACACAGGGGGGAAGATGCTGGCTGATGGTGGAGGTACCTAAAAAATTCAAAGCGATGCTGAGCATCCTTTTGGAATTCCTGGTCCAGCTTATAAGCAAGGAAATCTTCTCTGTCGACAACGAGGAACTCTGTTTCTTCCATACAGACCATGGTGGCCCTCCATACCAAAGGATTCAGAAGGCCCAATTCCTGTTGGATGGACATGGAAATGGGTAAGTGAGAGGCTACCTCTGATTTTCTGCTCACAGCCTTGCCCACCTCTTTCCTGCTTCCACATGCCTCCCATAAATCTCCACTCCCTGGATTGCAGATTCCTTGGCTGGCCCTGAGCTTCTTCTCATTCACCACTTTGGGGGGCCTATCCCCTCCCTCTTAAATGTGCTGCTTGTGGAACAAGAGGTAACAAGCTCGACTAGATCAGAGAGAGGAAGCTGGAGCGGCCTCACTGAGGGATCCCTCACTGAGGGATCTCTGTGGGGCTATACAGGGAACATGTTCCTTAAACATCCAGATGGAGGAGCCAGCCTCGGACATCACCTGGTCCAGTCAATTGGCCTGTGACAGGTGAGAGCGCTAAGTCCCACAACAGGGCAGTGACTTACACCTAGGAGAAGGCAGGACTGGGCCTGGTTGTTCTAGCCAGAGTCCTGTCGAGCCCCCAACCCTGCCCGAACAAGGCAGAGCCTTCCCCGTGCTTACCCCAAAACAATCGCCCCTGTGCAACAATTTGGGGTGGGGATCCAGGAAGGCGCTGCTGCCATCCTCATCCTCTGTCACTGCAACTGTGCCCATGTAGATGAAATAAAAGCTGTTGCCCCTCTTCCCCTTCTTGACCATCACTCGCCTGCGACCAAACCTGAGAAAAGACCATGGCCAGTAGAAAAGCCCAAGACCAAACCAAGACCACATGCAAACATGACTCAAATACTGGGCTAACTTTGGATTTTACCCAGAAGGTAATGGGGAACACAAAAGTCTGGGAAGAGGAGACGGCCCAGATGACAATGACTAGATGGAAGAAGACAGGCACAGTCAGCTGGGAAATGAGCCTGGTAGCAACAGGGAGCCTGGCCCCATGCTGGGAGGAGTCCTGCACTGCCTTGTACACTTCTGGAGCATGAAGGCACAGACTGGGACCAGAAGAGCCCGCACAGCAGCCCGGCTCCAGCTCAAGCCTGAGCTCTTCACTAACATCCACCCAGTTGCCCGCCTCCCTCAGACTGAAGCTTCCTGAGAGCAGAGCCTTTGTCGGTTGGCTAAGGCACAGTAAATGCTCAGTGAATAGCCGCTGAATAGACGAATGACCAAATCCTGAAAGTAATGGATGAGTAGCTGAAGGATGGAGACCTAGGGTGCCCCAGGCTTGCTGAAGGCACACAGCGAGTCACACTTGAGTCACCACTGGACCCCAAATCTCCTGTGGCAGATGTCCGTTGCTTTTGTGGCCAAGCAGCGGGTCACCTTTTCCACCAGCTGCACCCTGACTTTACTTTGGGGGAAATACCTTTTCTTGATTCACAGGCAATCAGCCATCTTGCTGCCACAAAAGAGAGAGTCTGATGCAGAAAGTGGCTCATGAGAATTGAGTGTGAGGAGGTGGAGAGAGACCTGGACCTGGGGTCCTGGGGACACTGGGCCCCTGAGTCCGGCTGAGCCAGAAGCTGGAGGACTATCCCAGGACTTCTCAGATCCATGAGCCACCAAAGCATTCCTTACAGCTAGGTTTTCTATCACTTGTGACTGAAAGAATCCTGTCTAATCTGCATATTTCCAGTCCCAGAAATAATCAGCTAGCTGAAAAGGGCTTTAACAATCACCACCTCTTCGTCTTCACACAAACCCATAAAATCTGTACCAGAGTCCTCATTCCTGAGGCTCAGCAAGGTTAACTGGCTTGTGGTCACACCTCAGAGTGGCAGATGCAGCATTACATTCCAGAGCTCCTACCTCCATGATTCTTTTTCTTTGCTTGACACCATTCTGCCTGCAATGGAATCTCACTTTAAGACAACGGTGACTTGCTCTTCTTTACCAGGCTAGAACAAAGCAGATGGTCCCCCCTGCCTGGAATGTTCTTGTCTACACCTCTGCTTGTCAAAAATACCTACTCAACTGCCACCTCATTGGTAAATCTCCTTTGGCCAAGCTAACTAGAGTGTTCCCTCCTCTCCTGGGCTTATTGTCTGTAAATAGATCCTGCACAGGTTATAACAGGCCTTTATCTAGAGCTAGTTTGTGATTATGTGACCTGTGACCTCCATGAAAGAAAGTATCAGGGCCCAGACTACAGGGTCCTCACATCCTAGATCTTCAAGACAGGCCTAAGCTCAAATATTCTGCTAGGCTGCCCTTCTTAAGCCACTGAAATGTCCAAGAAATGGCAATATTTCCACACACACCTCTTAGACTTCTCTAGTACAAGGTATTTATATGGTGCTTCTTGTGCCATGGACCCTTTGACAATCTGGTGAAGGCTTCACAGAATAATGTTTTAAATATATAAAATAGGAGTACCTGGGTGGCTCAGTTGGTTAAGCGTCTGCCTTCAGTTCAGGTCGTGATCCCAGGGTCCTGGGATCAAGCCCCAACTGCTTCTCCTTCTCCCTCTGCTCCTCCCCTCCACTTGTGTTCTCTCTTTCTCTCTCTCAAATAAATACGTAAAACTTTTAAAAATTCATTTTTAAAAAATATTTTATTTATTTATTCATGAGAGACACAGAAAGAAAGAGAGGCAGAGAGACAGGCAGAGGGAAAAGCAGGCTCCATGCAGGGAGCCCGATGTGGAACTCGATCCTGGGACTCCAGGATCATGCCCTAGACTGAAGGTAGGTGCTAAACCGCTGAGTCACCCAGGGATCCCCCTAAAAATTCTTTTTAAATAAATATATAAAATAAAATATAACAAACAGTTAATAATTGTCTTTCAAAACCCAAATTGTGGGGGTGCCTGGGTGGCTCAGTCAGTTAAACATCTGACTCTTGATATTGGCTGAGGTCACACTCTCAGGGTCATGAAATCAGGCCTGAGCTGGGCTCTGTGCTGAGCAGGGAGTCTGCTTCAGATTCTCTCCTTCTGTCCCTTCCCTCTCGTGCCCCCTCATGCTCGCAGGAGTATACATTCATACTCTCTCACTCTCTAAAATAAATAATTCTTTAAAAAAAAACCAGAATTGTGGTATAGCAATGTATGTGCATCTTTATTACAGCACTGAATAACACGATCTAGCAGCGTTCTAATTACTACTACAATTTCAAAGATGTGATGAATATAAATTATTTTTTGAGAAACCTGCAACAACATGAATGTGTAATATTGGTGATTTCTTTTGTTGAAAAAGTCACAGGAATAGCTAATACTATAGTGGTTCATTACCTACATCTGTGATTAAAGAAAATGATAAAGTTTAGTTACAGGTTAATGAAAACAGATATAAATTTTTTTCTTATCCGTTCACAGACCCTTGCCCTAGTTCCTATGTGGACATCATACAATCACCTGTGACCCACTGTAGCTTTTAGGGCTTGGGTTTGAGTCTCAGCCCTACCCCTCATCACCTGGGTGACAGAGTATGAGTCACCCTCTGAACCTCTGCTTCCTCATCTGAAAAAGGAGGGACTGGACCAGATCCTTTCTGAGGTTCCTACCAGAGCCTCTCTAGATTCGATGGCTCCTTCATTCTGGGTAGACTGGTCAATAAATGAAGATTAACCATGCAACAAGCATAATAATGAACACTCAAGTAAACAGATAGCTTTCCATGGCTGATGTACCATGGAGACACCAGCAGCCCTGCCATAGCCTTGTCAAGCAGGTGCTTCCTGCCCAGCCCAGCCCTGACACCAAGGGGTGTGTCCCTCACTGACCGTTCAAAGCGAATGACTTTGGCCAGGAGCAGCTGCAGGGGCTCTGAGTAGTTGCGGTAGCTGTCCAGAACCTGCAGGAGGTTACAGAGGGCCTGGATCTCCGACTCTGTCCTCCAGGAAGGCAGCTTCTGCGTGATCTGCATGGCTTTTGGAGGGAAGTGACCCTGGGGAGAGAGGACCAGAGTGACACACAAGACTCAGAAGTTTCCCCCAGGAGCTGGTGGGCAACTCCCCACACTCCTGCTTTTATACTTCACTCCCCAGACAAGAGTGGTTTACATTCACTGAGTGCTCACTATGTGTCTGGCATCAGGGTATGTATCTTACACACATCATCTCACAGCATCTTTGCTCAGCCCAAGAAGTGAGGCACAATTATTATTTCCATATAACAGACAAAGGCACTCGAACAGGCTTATAACCTAGACCTGCTACGTGCCAAGACCCTTATCCCCACTTCCTAACCATACTGCCTTTGCCATTCACTGACCACCCACCGAGTCAATATAGGGCTCCCTGGGTTTCAGGGACCCCTCAGCATATGTACATTGCAGCCAGGGGAGACTTCCCTTCCCTCAGCCTATACCTTAGCATGCTACATGAGACTAAGAAATAAAGAGAACCTACAGAAACTAACCCTGGTGAACCAGAACTCATGGACTAGTGGATGGACAGATCCATCCATTCACCCACAGTCCCATGTCCCGGGAAAATGGTATTTGAGTTGTTAACACTCCTACTGGCTGCCCATCTCACTTAGGATAAAGTCTTAAGCAGGTACTCCAGCCTAATGGAGCCTTCCTCCCTACCCATCCCCCCACTTTGCCTCCTGCCTCTCTCAGAGCTTCATTCTCCAGGCTCTAGCCTTCTCTTGAAGAGGCCAAGCTCACTTCTGTCCTACAGTCTTGCTTGGGCTGTTTCCTCTCTCTGGAATGTTCTTCCCTGGATTTTCACATGGATATGGCTGCTTCCTTCTCTTCATTCAGTTCTTAGCTCCTATGTTACCACATCCTGAGGAAGTCCTACTGGATCATTTGACCTAAAATAGTAGGCCCCCTTCTCAGCAAGTCTTGGAATCATTTTTCCCAAAGCAGTTCATACTTTCTGAAATGACCTTATTCTTTTTTTTCTTTTTTGTTAATATGTATATTATCTGTCATTTCCCCATCCTATACACACACACACACACACACACACACACTCACCTCACTCACTTTAGAACCGCATTATCCAATATGGCAGCCATTAGCCACATGTGGCTATTTAAATTTAATTAGATAAAAAATAAGTTCCTGAGGGGCACCTGGGTGGCTCCATGGTTAAGCGTCTGTCTTAGGCTCAGGTCATGATCCTGGGTTGCTGGGATCAAGTCCCACATCAGGCTCCTCGCAGGGAGCCTGCTCCCCCCTCTGCCATGACTCTGCCCCTCTCTCCGTATCTCTCATGAATAAAGAAATAAAATCTTAAAAAAAAAAAATTTCCTCAGTCACACTAGCCACAAGTTCTACATGTGTCTTGTCCGCTACTATACTGGACAACGCATACAATTGAACATTTCCATTATCTCAGAAAACTCTATTGGACAAAGATATTCTAGAATATAAGCTCCATTAAAAACATGATAATGGCTTCATCTATCTTATTTACCCCATTTTAGAATAACATCTCACATGTAGTAGGCACTCAACAAAATAAAAATTTATGGAAAGAATGAATGAATGCCAGCTAATCTTACATAAAGTAGTTGTCCTAGAAGCAAAAAAAAGTGGGACATGATGAGGAGTTCTGGACAACAGATCTGAAGCCTTGCATGTTCACTCAGAAGGGCAGTGTTGCTCAATGATTAATAATGCACAGGCCTGGGGCACCTAGGTGGCTCAGTTGATTAGGCTTCTGTCTTCAGTTCATGTCATGATCCTGGGGTCCTGGGATTGAGTCCTACATTGGGCTCCCTGCACAGCAGGGAGTCTGCTTCTCCCTCTTCTCCTTCCCCTGCTGGTTCTCTCTTTCTAATAAGTAAATAAAAATTAAAAAAAATTTTTTTTAAATGCACAGGCTCTGGTGCCAGGTGCCTGGGTTTGAACCTTGGCCTGCTCCTACCTGGTGGTGTGTCCTAGGACAAATCATTTCCCTTTGAGCCTCAGTTCCCTATCTGAGAGCAGCAGAATCTGAATTTATAAATAGCAGAGCTAATATATGTAAGGGGCTTATAGTGGGCCTGGTTCCCAGTCAGGACTATAGAAGTGTTGGCCTTTTTTTTTTTTTTTTTTTAATTAAGTAGGCTCCATGCCCAGCATGGAGCCCAACATGGGGTTTGAACTCATGACCCTGAGATAAAGACTTGAGCTGAGATCAAGTCAGACATTAACTGACTGAGCCAAAGGTGCCCCATGTTGGCCATTTTTAAGGTCTGAATCCAATCTTCTTCCTTCCTAACCCTCTCTTGCTATCAATAACCCATTGGGATTTCTATCGCAGGGTTTTTTTTTTTTTTTTAAATTTTTACTTATTTATGATAGTCACAGAGAGAGAGAGAGAGAGAGAGAGCAAGAGACACAGGCAGAGAGAGAAGCAGGCTCCATGCACCGGGAGCCCGACGTGGGACCCGATCCCGGGTCTCCAGGATCGCGCCCTGGGCCAAAGGCAGGAGCCAAACCACTGCGCCACCCAGGGATCCCTATCGCAGGGTTTTTATGACAAAACACAGATGTCTCTGGTTTCTATGAACAAAACTGATTCTCTGGGCCCACTTGGGGCTCCAATTCTTTTAGAAAATCTCTCTCAGGGCAGCCTGGGTGGCTCAGCAGTTTAATGCCACCCTTGGCTCAGGGGCTGATCCTGGAGATCCGGGATTGAGGATCACGTCAGGCTCCTGCATGGAGCCTGCTTCACCCTCTGCCTGTCTCTCTCTCTCTGTCTCTCATGAATAAATAAATAAATAAATAAATAAATAAATAAATAAATAAATAAATAAATAAAATATTAAAAAAGAAAAAAAGAAATTCTCTCTCACCACCACTGATTCTTAGAGACTCCCTTCTCTGGATTCCTACGAAACTGATTCTGCTATTTAACTTCCCAGGTAAGTTTCCTCACCTTAACTCTTACTTAGCTCCTTAAGGGCAGGTGGGGATGTTATATTACCTAGAATCACCACAACCAGACACAGATCTAAGCCTAGAGCTGGTAAGAGCTCAAATCTTTCCTATACAAGGTAGGCCCCTTTAAAAATATAAATTAAATTTTAATTTAGTATCCAAGATTTGGTGGAAAGAAGCCAGGAAAATAACAATTCTTAAAATTCAGAGAACAAGTCACACAGTCCAAAGCCTCACCCAGATATGAAGCATTTCTTTGCCAGAATGGCTGATATCCACAAAGGGGGTGCCTGCCCAGTGTCTGTCAGAGGGCTTGGGGCACGCCCAGAATTCACACACAGGCCAGGCCTTCCCCCACCTCCCCCGATTGTTTCTTCTGTGTCTGGAACTCTCACAACCTCTACTTTGAGTTTTGCTGTTTTTCCATGGGTCCAAGTACAGGAGTTCTCCCTGCCGGTTCTGCTCAGCTATAAGGTGACAGTGGGTTCAACGGGGCTCACAGCCTTGGAATGTCAGGACTGGAATCTTGGGATCACTGAGGTTGGCTATTTCACACATGAGGAAATCAAGTGGCTAGCTCAGGGCGACACAGTGGGTTGGCACCAGAACCTGGACTGGACTCAGCTGTCCCGATACCCAGCCCCGTGCCTCTTCCAGGCCATGCTGCAGAAAGAACATTCTCAGCAGCAAGGTCGGAGTTATGCATACCTCCTCTGCGACGAAGTCCATGGTATCAAATGTGATTCGGCCTTGCTTCCTTTTCTGGGGGAGAAAAAAAGAGAAATTGGGGAGAAGAAAGAGAATCAGCAAGACTGCTACTAGAATTTTGCACTGAAACCCTCCTGCGCACCCAGTGCTCACCCGTGGTAGGCGGAAGCCATGGGAACCCTCCTACCCACTGGAACCTCTCATGTCCACCTCTGCTCGAAAGCCCCAGCTCAGCCCCAGACTCAGACCCAGTGTAGACAGCGTGTCATTGTGGAAACAGAAATGCGGTGGGGGGAGGGGAGTAATAAAGAGAGGAAGGATGGAGAGAGAAAAGGAAGAGGGGAAAGAGGCAAACAAATGAGGAAGTGGAGAGGGACAGAGAGGGAAAAAACAGAGACACCAACGAAGCCAGCCTTCCCTAAACGCCTATCAGGAGCCAGGCACACGCCTCCTCTTCCTTTCTTACTCTATTTCACCCTAAGGACAAAGCAGGTATTGCTGAGCCCCCTTCTGGACTCCACAGGGGGTTAAGGAACCTGCCCGAGGATCACACACTGAGGAAACAGTCCTCTCCTAGAGTGTGTCCAGAAGAAAGCAGCGCAAAAGGTCTTAGGGATGAACTCATCCAACTCTATCTCCTAACAGTTGCAGGGGGGATGAGGAAATAGTCGAAGAAGAGGCAGAGAAAGGGGGGAAGATCTGTAGGAGGAGGCAGGGGAAAGGAAAGAGACAAACAAGGCCCTGACCACCATCTGGGCCAAACCTGGACCCACGCCCCCATCTCTCTAGGTTTACCTCAGGTCCTCCCCACCCCAGTGCCCGATTTATAGTTTATGTACCTGTGTCGTGCTTTTCAAGAAAGCCAGTGATAGAAAGCATGGTGCTCAGAAAGATGCGGATTCACAAGGTCTAATGAAAAGTGGCCCATGGTTCTCTCTACCTGACCCAACACTCCAGCCCCCTAGCTCTCTGCCCAGTAGCCACATGACTCCCCTTTGGCTGCTCTCAAGAGGCTTCTGCTCTGCTCGAGTCCACTCTGCCCAGGCACTGTCATTCAGTCTTAGCCTCACACATCCCTGATGACAAGTCTGATTTGGATCTTCCAAGTACCCAGGCAGCCCAAGGCTTCTGGCAACCAAAGACTCCTGATAAATAGCACCCCTGGGCCCATGGCTTTACCACTGCATGACAACAACCTGAGTCAGAACATCCTTCCTGACAGCAAACCTCCATCTCTCAGGTTCCAATTCTTCCACTCCATCCCTTCCCAAGTCATGGTCCAACCATAGGGCAGAATCTGGCTGCAGAGTTCATTTGGTTTGGCCAGCATAGTGTCTTTAAATATATGAATTGGAGGGATGCCTGGGTGGCTCAGTGGTTGAGTGTCTGCCTTCAGCTCAGGTTGTGATCCTGGGGTCCTGGGATCGAGTCCCACATCAGGCTCCCTGCATGGAGCCTGCTTCTTCCTCTGCCTGTGTCTCTGCCTCTCTCATGAATAAATAAAATCTTTAAATATATATATATATATTCATATATATATATGAATGTCTTTGGATGGGCCATGCTCTTCTTTTCTGCAGACCCACAGGCCCCTACTCCCTGCTACATCTTTAACTCAGCCACCTGCACACAGTTACACTTGCTGGCTCCTTAGCGACCCACCTAAGACAGCCTTTTTTTTCACCCATCAGCACCACCCATACTCCTTTCTCCTTCAGAAACCATTTGGGGCAATTTCTTGGAGTGAATCGCTAGGTGCAATTGGAAGGCAGGGCTGAATCTAGTCACTCCTGGCACAACAGAAAAATAAGCAGGGTTTGTCAGAGATTGGGAGAAACTTTGTGGGCCTGAATAGTAATGAAGATGCCTTTGGGGATCCAGAACAGGTTAACAGAATGGTGAGCAACTTTTCTGAGCTTAAAAAGGGTGTATGATCTACTACTGGAATAAAATATTTGAAACAGAGACCTTCTAGAAAATCTAGAAAGCATGGTCTCCAGAGTAAGCAGGGCCTTGCACGTGTTCCTTTGTTTAAGCGGGGGGACAGGAAAGAAGGTTGAGAAGATGAACAGTGATGGGCATTCAGAAAACCCTGACTCGGGATCCCTGGGTGGCACAGCGGTTTAGCACCTGCCTTTGGCCCAGGGCGCGATCCTGGAGACCCGGGATCGAATCCCACGTCGGGCTCCCGGTGCATGGAGCCTGCTTCTCCCTCTGCCTGTGTCTCTGCCTCTCTCTCTCTCTCACTGTGTGCCTATCATAAATAAAAAAAAGAAAAAAAAGAAAACCCTGACTCTAAGGAGACTTCTGGATTTCTCTGGCTCTTTTGATCCCTATTGGAATGACGATGACTTCTTCTCTACTCCTGGTGTTTCTTTCTACTCAGAGGGAGTTGTGCTGATAGAACACTACTAGCCCTTCTCCTTCCACATTGAGAAGGAGTGACATAAACTCCTTGGTGACTTTGGAAGGAAAAACTGGGTGAGATCATTCCTTCTCTGTCCCTGTGAGATCACATTCTGCTCTGTCCTCCTTTGCTGTGAATTTAGGGCAGGAGGGTCTGCTCCCACAGTGGAGGCCTGCCTTGGTCCAGCACTGTCCACGACACATGTAAGGCTATCTGATTCTGGGGTTTAGTCTTAGGTCATCCTTGCACTTGATGATACAAATAATCTTCTCCAATAAAAGTGTCGTCATTAACAAAAGTTACAGTTGGGTCTCCCATCTGCTTTACCCTTTGTCTTCTCTCTGTTGGTTCAGAATATGGATTGGGGAGTGAGGTGCTATTTATCAGACCCCCTTAAGCCCTCACAATCGTGCTAAGGCCAGCTGCTTACATCCCAGAAGGAAAAGATAGGGTGCTTTCTATGAGAGGTCTCGATGATCTGATATTCCCGGAATCCCCTGAGGCCCTGGCGGAACATTTTACACACTCGAATCATCACGATGATATCCATGGTGAGCTGGTACAGCCCCTGTGGAAACAAAACAAATAAGATCAGTAGAAACCATCTGTTTTCAGCAGCCACCAGCAGGCTAAATAGCACTGATAAAGTGAAATGGGATGGAATTAAATGCAGGGGTATGCTGGAGCCATGGTTCCACTTTTGAGGGAGTCTTCAAGCCTGCTGAAATTGTGTTGGTAGCCTGAAAATGGCCACAGCTGGGACTATTAATGCCACACAAACTGGCAACTGCTACAAACCTCCCTCCCCAGGAGCTGGTGGGTAAAACTTTCTCCAGCACCGCTCTAGTTAAATAGCAAGTCCTTCACTTTGGTCCAGAAAACAGCAAAAGTGACTGCAGGCAGCAAGGGGGAGATGCAAAAAGCCTGGATTTTGGAATCAGATGGATCTGAGGGAAGAACAGTCGAGCAGATGCAACATTGTGGCCTTGGAAGACAGAAGAAGGGGCCATAAGCCAAGGGATGTGAGTGGTCTCTAGAAGCTAGAGAAGTCCAGGAAATGAGATTCTTCCCTAGACCCTCAGGAAAGGATTGCAGCCCTGCTGACACCTGGATTTTAGCCCAGGGAGACCTGTGCCAGACTTTTAGCCTACATAAGATAATATGATTTGTCTTAAGCCACTAAATTATGTGATATGTTATCACAGCAATAGGAAACTAATATAACCACTCACCCAAGCTGGGCCATCTGATCCCAGGCAACCTTTGAGCCTGGGAATTTGGAATTGAAACTGAGAACAAATCAGTCTCCATCCCAGTATGAATTTGGGAGCAAGGGTAGTCACCCTCTGCCTGCCAAGTAAATACGGGGGATAGGGAAACAAGCTCAACAACAAAGAGATAAATCCAGAATGTGAAACAATCTACAAGTCAACTAACCCAGTTTCTTAAAAGACATGCAAATAAATGCAAAGCATCAACCTCTGGATCCTGATTCATAATTGCAAGCTGAAAAGGCCACTATTTGGCAGCCCCGGTGGCGCAGCGATTTGGCGCCGCCTGTGGCCGGGAATGTGATCCTGAAGACCTGGGATAGAGTCCCTCGTCGGGCTCCCTGCATGGAGCCTGCTTCTCCCTCTGCCTGTGTCTATGCATCTCTCTCTCTCTCTGTGTCTCTCATGAATAAACAAATAAAATCTTTTTTTAAAAAAAAGAAGCATCATAAGAAACGTAACTTACTCTCAAATGATTCAACAAGCACACACACAAATATGTAAAGCCAACATGGCCAAATGCTAACTGTTAGACCTAAGGGGTGATCATTATATTTCAACTTCAATGTTTTAAAATTTCCATAACGAAACAAGCACAAAAGCTAAAAACATTTATTTTTTTAAATTCTGTTAACAAGGACACCAAAGACAAAATGAAAAGGCAAACTGAAGACTGGAAGAATACATTTGCCATGCACAAAATCAACAAAGGATTCCTATCCAAAATTACAAAACATAATTATTACGAAAAGCTACTATCGGGGCACCTGGGTGGCTCAGTTGGTTAAGCATCTCCCTTCGACTCAAGTCGTGATCCCAGGGTCCTGGGATTGAGCCCTAGGTCGGACTCCCTACTCAGTGGGGAGCCTGCTTCTCCCTCTCCCTCTGACCCTCCTCCCTGCTTGTGCTCTCTCTCTCTGTCTCAAATAAATTTTTTTAAAAAACAAACAAAAAAAAACCCCCTACTTTCCAATTTTTTTTATTTTAAAAATTCTGCAAATCAAAGCAAAAAATACAAATAACTCAAAAGAAAAAATAAGCAAAGGATATAAACAGGTAACTCAAAGGGAAAATGTAAACCACCTATAAATAACAAAAAGATTCTGCACATCACTAGAGATAATGGAAACGTAAATTCAAGTGGCAAGAGACCATTTTACATTTATTGGATTCAGGGGGGAAAAAAAAAGAAGACATTTCCCAGAGGAAAAGCTAAAAATAATTGAAATGTCCATCAGTAGGGGAACGTATCACCGCATTACAATATAGTCCTGGACTGAACATAGCACTAGAGCCATGCATGTCAGTGTGGGTAAAGATCACACGATTTGAGTGGAAAAAAGTTTGGAAAGGGATGCCACTTAGGACATCATTAAAAAAATTTTGCTACATAATATGTTGCTTATAAATACTTATATATAGGGATCCCTGGGTGGCGCAGCGGTTTGGCGCCTGCCTTTGGCTCAGGGCGCGATCCTGGAGACCCAGGATCGGGTCCCACGTCGGGCTCCCGGTGCATGGAGCCTGCTTCTCCCTCTGCCTGTATCTCTGCCTCTCTCTCTCTGTGTGACTATCATAAATAAAAAAAAAAAATTAAATACTTATATATATAATAAAATTTTTAAATCTGGGGGGCACCTCGGTGGCTCAGTGGTTGAGCATCCCCGCATCAGGCTCCCGGTGGGGAGCCTGCTTCTCCCTCTGCCTATGTCTCTGCCTCTCTCTCTGTCTCTCATGAATAAATAAATAAAATCTCTAAAAAATTTTTTTTTAATCTAGAGAGGTAGGGTACATATTAACCTCAGGAAAGTGGTTCCCAGTGAGGAGGAGGGGAATGGGATGATGAGGAGCTTCACCAGTAACTGTAATATTTTCTTTAAAAATATTTATATCTGGGGACACCTGGGTGGCTCAGTGGTTGAGTGTCTGTCTTTGGCTCAAGGTGTGATCCCAGAGTCCTGGGATTGAGTCCCACATCAGGCTCCCCTTGAGGAGCCTGCTTCTCCCTCTGACTATGTCTCTGCCTCTCTCTCTGTGTCTCTCATGAATAAATAAATAAAATCTTTAAAAAAATTATTTGTATCTGAAGGAATTACAGGGAAAGGCTTTTTTTAAATTTTTATTTATTTATGATAGTCATACAGAGAGAGAGAGAGGCAGAGACATAGGCAGAGGGAGAAGCAGGCTCCATGGACCGGGAGCCCAATATGGGACTCGATCCCGGGTCTCCAGGATCGCGCCCTGGGCCAAAGGCAGGCGCCAAACCACTGCGCCACACAGGGATCCCCAGGGAAAGGCTTTATTAATAAAATTAATACTTACTAAATAACCATTTTTCCACCAGGAACTATTCTAAGCCCTTTATAGGTATTGACTCATTTAATCCTCAACAGTAAATCAGTGCAATAGATACTAATACTACAATCACTCTTTACAGAGGGGAAAATAGGCACAGCAAATCAAGTAACTTGCCTAATACTAATATTAGCCAAATGACTAATAGGTGATGGGGATTTGAATCCAGAGTCCATAAGTTCAGCCTGTCACTCTATCTACTGCCAGGCCTATTCTCTCTGGATCTCAAAACAGTAGGAAGGGTGAGTACAGAGCAGTTCTTAGGGGCTCAGAGTGTACCCTGTGACATGCCCAGTGTAAAGAGATAGCAGTCTACACTGAAGTCTTTCTGAAGCCTAACCTGGAACTTTATCCTCTGTGTCATGCTGTGATTCCAAAAGAGACAGTGTAGGCCCCCCTATTACACCTGCCCCTCTTTTCCTCAAAATACCTGTCTGTGCAATCTTTCACTCTTTCCTCCCAGAACCCTTGACACTCCTCACCAGTTCCTTCTTCAGGATCTGCCACAAATAAGACACCATATATCTCCTCATGGTTCCTGAGCTGGCAAATGGCACAATTAACCCCTTTGCCTTTCAAGTGTAGGATCACAAATCCTTCCCAAAGAATCCACTTGTATTAAGAAACAAATAACTTCCCTCAGTGGCAAGGTAGGAGTTCCTCTCCACTCCTCATACCCTACCAATAGCTTCTAGAAGCCTTGTTCTGAGAAAAATCTCATTCTCAGAATCTCCTTATATCACAATGGAGGATTCTGAAAGAGAAGACAGCGGGAAGGAACTAGAATCCAGGAGTCTAACGTCTAACATATATTGAGAACTCATAGAACTTATTATCTTAGTTAATCCTCACAACTACCCCAAGGGGAGGGTCCTTATACCTACTCCGTACAGACTGAGGCTTCAAGTAGCTAACTGAATGCCAGTCATAGGACCATTTAAGGAAACTATGAGGCTCCTGGGCTGGGGGCAGGAGCACCAAACACCTCAGCCGAGAGGGCTCTCTGAGGCTTAGAACTCGGAGACCCTGTAGTGTGGGGTGTATGACACAGTCCTATAAATCTTGTTATATTAGTAGATCAGGAACTCTCAGAAAAAATCAGAAGTCCTCGGCTAAATGGAGTGCCAAATGATGAAAGGAAATCTGGTGACTAGAACTCAATGACCCTGAGGCCCTTCCAAAAGGAGAAAATAGGATCTAAAGTATGGCTGTCTACTAGATTAAAGATGGCAGTTGATGGTCGCAGTTTGCTCTTGTATACAAGAATCCTCAATAAAAAACTACGACTTTGGGATCCCTGGGTGGCGCAGCGGTTTGGCGCCTGCCTTTGGCCCAGGGCGCGATCCTGGAGACCCGGGATCGAGTCCCACATCGGGCTCCCGGTGCATGGAGCCTGCTTCTCCCTCTGCCTATGTCTCTGCGCCTCTCTCTCTCTCTCTGTGACTATCATAAATAAATAAAAATTAAAAAAAAAAAACTACGACTTCAAGTATGCCTGATTTGCCATTCCTATCCAGCAAGGCCCATCTGCCAACGCTCTCCCAGCTGACAGCCAAATGGAAAGACGCTGAATGCAGTAAAGACAGCCTGACAGCGGGGAAGACCCAAGCTCGGAATGACTAAATTCAAAGGCCAGCACTCCTAGAGTGAGACACTAATCACTTACAGAGATGAGAAGAGATAGAATTGTTTTGTTTTGTTTTGTTTTCCCTCCCCTGCCAAGAGAAAAGATACAAGGAACTCAGGGAGAAACAGAGTAAGAGAATGTTTCAGAGAAAAAGAGAGAGAAGCAGTGTGGAGTTTTTGCCTTCTCTACCACAACCCTGATCTTAAGGAAGGAAATACAAAAGTTTAGGGGGTTTCTGAAACAAACTCTTGGGGGTGAGGAAGACAAGAAAGATGGTGGGAGGTGGTTACAGATAGGGAGGTATCCAACCAGTCCTCTGAGCTGCCTGAGATGCAAGTGACCTGGAGAGGATCCAGACTAATAAGGGGCATCGGAGGATGTCAGTAAGTAGGGCCAAGACCCTGATAAGACCCTGAAAGTAGACATTCCCAACTTTACCTCTTGCCAGCAGTAATTGTATAATTTCCTGGGGAATTGGATTGGTGTTGGGGAGAAAGGGGCAGGAAGTTTGGAAAACTCTGAACTGGCCTATGATGAGTCAATCAGCCTGAAATTATATCCTCTCAAAATTACTGGATTGCATCTCAAGTTACTTGAAGACACATCTAAATTAAGTTGTCTCTTAGGAGGCAGGGTGGAGACCCAGAGTCAGACAGACATTAAAGTCAGGTCTAGAAATTAAGAAAGAGTCATTTCAAAAAAAAAAAAAGAAAGAGTCATTTCTGGGGTGCTTGGGTGGCTCAGTCAGTTAAGTGTCTCTGCCTTTGGCTCAAGTCGTGATCCTGGAGTTCTGGGATCAAGTCCTGCGTCAGGCTTCCTACCCCACAGGGAGCCTGCTTCTCCCTCTGCCTCTGCCTCTTTGAATAAATAAATAAAATCTTTAAAAAGAAAAAAAAAAGAAAGTGTCATTTCTGTTGCAGTTTATAATCTTAAAATTGAACTGTTGTAGAGCGGAATGCCAGAAAGGGAATTGGTCCTATTCTTACGTGATAGTGGGTAAATCACTTAACCATATTGGGCCTCACTTTCCTCCTTTTAAAACTGAGTTAGACTCAATTCCACAAATAATTTCTTTTCTTTTCCCTTTTTTAAGGATTTATTTATTTATTTAGAGAGAAACCATGAGCAGGGGGAGAGACAGAGGGGGGGAGAGAGAGAGAATCTCAAGCAGACTCCCTGCTGAGCAACTTCGGGGGGGGGGGGCTTGATCCCAAGCCCCTGAGATCATGACCTGAGCCAAATCAAGAGTCAGACACTTAATTGACTGAGCCACCCAGGTGCCTCAAACAATTTCTTTTCAAGATAAGATCCTTATTGTTTTGCTAATTATAATAGTTATGCAACTAATACTTATAGAGCTCCAACTACATGCAAGGTATGAAAAGGTGAATAAGACATGGTTTCTGCTCACAAGGAGTTCATAATATGGTGGCGATGGAAACCACAGTCAACAGAAAAAGTTGCACTAAAATTAAGCTATAAACATAAATGAAGAAAAGGGAGAGACTGATTGGAGAGCACGAGATGTGGCTGGAATATGAGATACCCAGGAGGCAGGAAGTGAGGGTATGCAGGCAGAGGTCACAAACCAGCCACCCGTGGAGCAAATTGAGTTTTTAGACTGTTTTATTTGACCCACATGGTGTTCTGATTAAAATATTGTTAAAACTTAACTTGGTTATGTTTAGTTGGGGAATGGGCTCACTAATTCACCAAAATCCTCAACTCACAGAACCATGTAACCTGCCAGGCATGTTATCTACTTGCAACTCCCAGTATAGGATCTATATGGCCTCTTTCAGACCTAAAATCCTTTGACTATATAATCAATGGTTGCAAAATTGTGGCCCACAGACCATATCTAGCCTGTTGGTACGCTTCAACTTTTTTTTTAAAGATTTTATTATTTATTCATGAGAGACACACAGAGAGAGAGGCAGAGAGAGAAGCAGGCTCCATGCAGGGAGCCCAACACGGGACTCAATCCCAGGTCTCCAGGATCACACCCTGGTCCCAAGGTGGCGCTAAACCACTGGGCCACCCGGGCTGCCCCATTTCAACGGTTTAAAAAAAATATGTTTTTTAATTAGTTAGGGCAACTGGCTGGCTCAGTCAGTAGAGCATGCAACTCTTGATCTTGAGTCTGTGAATTCAAACTCCCTGTTGAGTGTAGAGATTACTTAAAAATCAAAAAAATCTTTAAAACATTTTTTAATTAGCTGTCAACACTTGAATATTATGGGCAGTTTTCTTTTTTTTTTTTAAGATTTTATTTATTTATTTGTGAGAGAGATACACACACACACAGAGGCATAGACACAGGTAGAGGGAGAAGCAGGCCTCCTGCAAGGAGCTGGATGTAGGACTTGATCCTGGATCTTGGGATCACGACCTGAGCTGAAGGCAGATGCTCAACTGCTGAGCCACCCAGGTGTCCCTATGGGCAGTTTTCTAGGAAAACATAATTCACCGAAGTGACCCTGATATAAACCATCTAAATAGACTATACTTTCTGTAGAAGAAATAAAGGAAATTGTAGAAGAGCTCTCTCACCACCTCTACCATCACTGAGAAAGAAAATAGTACCAGGTTCTGAAGAGAAAGCTAGAGATTCATGAGTATTGTCTTTAAAATCCTAAATATAAGCAGATATAATTCAATAGTACATTTAAAAATAACATTATTGGAGAGCACCTGGGGGGGCAGCCTGCTAAGTGGTTGACTCCTGGTTTTGGCTCAGGTTGTGATTTCTGGGTTGGGGATCAAGCCCCACCTTGGCTCTGCACTCAATGTGGAGTCGGCTTGGGTTTCTCTCTCCCTCTCCCTCTGGTCCTCCTCCCTACCCCTGTTCTCTCTGTCTCTCAAATAAATAAATCCTAAAAAATATAATAACATCATTGTGGTACCTCTTTGGCTCAGTCAGTGAAGCATGTGACTCTTGATCTTGGGATTGTAGGTTTGAGCTCCACGTTGGGTGTAGAGATTACTTTAAAATAAGAAAAAAAAATATTTAAAAAAGGAAAAAAAATAATTTTGAAGCTCCTGGATGACTCAGTCAGAAAAGCATGTGACTACTAATCTTGGAGTGGTGAGTTTGAGCCCCACATTGGGTGTACAGATTACTTAAACAAACAAAAAAACTTTTTTTTTCTTAAATTAAAGACTTTTGAGACAACTGGGTGGCTCAGTGGTTGAGCATCTGCCTTCGCTCCGGGCATGATCCCAGGATCCGGGGATCGAGTCCTGCACTGGGCTCCTTGCAGGAGGCCTGCTTCTCCCTCTGCCTGTGTCTCTGCATCTCTCTGTGTCTCTCATGAATAAATAAATAAAATCTTTTTTTAAAAAATTAAACTTTTTTTTTTTGAGAGGGCGCGTTAATGAACATGTCACTCTTGGAGACAACTGGGGCTCCAGACAACCGGGGGTCCAGTGCTGGGACCTTAGTAATACTGCACTGAGCATGCCTCAAAGCTATCCCATTGGTTAAGGGCTACCCCTGGAGGCATTCACTTGCTTTTCTGGACTAAGCAACCCAGTGGCCAGAGAAAGCCCTCAGTGAAGGTACTTAGAGTAGGAAGCTGCCTAGTTAGCCTGTGCAGAAATGACAAGCCAGAGGATTAAAGCCCACAGTAAACACCTGGGGCTGCATGTCTTGGGGACAGCTGGCAGAGTTGCAAATTATCCCAAAAAAGTGGTACATTTGAAGGCAGAACCAACAGCACCTTCTGCAGAACATTGGGATTTTAAGGGCTGGGCTCGGAGAGCTTCCCTGGTATCCTTGGCACCAAGGAGAAGCAGGGCACAAGAGCTGACCAGGGAAAACACACAGACCGCCATTCTTGCAGCCCTGCAGCTGCCAAGCTCCATCTGCCAGGACAGGAAAGAGCTAAACCAATTTGGTCACAC